CGGAGATTTTGATGAAGCTTAGGGTTGTGCCCAGAAATCTGCATTTTTAAAAAAAAAGATTCTGACACAGGTGGTCTATATACCACACTCTGAGAGCTGAGATTGAAGACTGGGAATACTTCAGTGTCTGGCCTTCCCAGTGTTGAAAACAAGTACTTCTTCTTCTTCTTCCCTTTTTTTTTTTTTTTTGAGATTTATTTATGTATTTATTTACTTGAATCCAACTAGTTAACATATAATGTATTATTTGTTTCAGGGGTACAGGCCTGTGAATCATCAGTCATACACAATTCACAGCACTCACCATAGCACATACCCTCCCCAATATCCATCACCCAGCCACCCCATCCCTCAGAACCCCCCCCACCTTTAGCAACCCTCAGTTTGTTTCCTGAGATTAAGAGTCTCTTAGGGATTGTCTCTCTCTCTCTGGTTTCACCGTGTTTCATTTTTTTCCTCTGAAAGCCAGCACTTCTTGAATAGTTCCCTCTGAGTTCTTTCATATCCCAAAGTGAGTCCCCTTTGTACTGTTAGTCGTTAGAGTAATTGTACTCTAATAATAATTCTAATAATAAAGGGTGAGTTTAATTTAATAATGAGTACTTTTGGAGGAATTTTCAATTAATTGAATGAATTAATTGGGTACCAATTCATGCAGTTCCTACAGAATATGAAATTGCTCTAATCAATAGAGGATAAAAGCCCCAGATGATCTCAGTAATAGAGTAAATGCCTTCAGGACGTGAGTGTAGCCTCCGGGACATCAGCCCATGGTAAATGTCTTGTTAATACTTGCATATTATTAATAAGAGAGTTTGCTAATGATTATACCAATATATTTATTCTATCCAAATTATTGAGTATATGGTATGTGTAAGGCACCTGCCAGGCTTTGGGGAGAGTACAGAAAATTATTTGGCTCAGACCCCAGTCTAAAGCCACTTACAGTTTATAGATTTTGACATTGTCTATGCCTGCAAGGACTCTGGATAGTCATAAACAGTTACTTTTCCATGAGTAATTTGTGACCACTTAAATACGATGTACATTCGAGAGGGAAAAAACAAATATTAAGGGCAACGGTTTTTAAGACACATGCATCCTGTTTCTTCTCGTCTTTTCCATGTGCCATAGGGTCTGTTTCTACTTCTTATTACAGGGTTGGAGTGGCCTTTTGTGAAAATAGAAGGTCATAAAAAGTAGAAATAAGCTGACTGTAAATGCCATCCCCAGTTCCCTTCCATGTGACATCCCATTACAGTTTCTCTCCCTATTATTCCCTTGACTGATACAGCGCAGCCTTCTATGGAGTGTAATCCAAGAAGGTGGGCAGTGCGAACGCTGAATGCTGACTGGGCTGATGCCTCCATTCGGGAGAAATGCTGGACTCCCACATGTGTTTATTCACTAAAAGAGAAACAAAGGCTTTGAAGGGGCATTACTCACAGTGTCACAGTGCGATGTGTGTATCCTTCTCAGCCTGTGAGCTTTTGTCTTAAGACTGTAATGAAAAGAGCAAGCATTCAGAAACTTTTAGAGCACTTGGACAGAGTTGTTTCATGCCTGCCAAATTTAATTAATAATAAAAAATTGAGTTCATAATTTCCCTTTGTCTCTTCTACTAATTACATTTTATTGTAATTTTAAAAAGATTTACTTATTTATCTGAGAGAGAGCGAGCATGAGCGGGAGGGTCAGAGGGAGATGGAGAGAAAATCTCAAGCAGATTCTGCGTGGAGCTCAGAGCCCAAAGCGGGGCTTGATCTCAAGACCCTAAGATCACGACCTGAGCCAAAACCAAGAGGCGGCCGCTTTACTGACTGCACCACCCAGGTGCCCCACTTTTTATTGTATTTTACAAAAGTATTGACTCATGATGGGTTTGAAATAATTTTTTAAAAACTGGTCTTTCACTGCAGATAGTTTGAGAAGCACTATTTAAGTATCTTTTCTTGATTCAGAAAGCGTTCGGCTTCCTTTCCCTCATACTTGTTTTCTTTTTATCCTGCAAATTTCTGTCAGAGTAGCCCCTAGACATTAAATTTTTAGCCAGTGTTTGCTCCTGGAAAAGAGAGACTTCTTTTGATTACAAAAATCATGAATTTCCTAAACAGCCATAAAATCACACTCTCTTGAAACCAAGTTAAAGTGTTTCCAAGATTAAAATTTGTGAAAGAGGCAATTTTAGAAGAGGAAATGATCTTTTTAAAGCAAAGCTTTGTTTTTCCCGAAGTAATATATTAAATCTCTATTAGTGTGTTAAGCAGATTTGGCAGGGTGAAACTTCAGAATTAAAAAATTTAAATAAGGAGAGTTAGCATTTAAAAATATGTCAGCAAGCTTGGCTAGTACTATCCATTGAGTGAGCTGTGGCCTAGCAGAAAACACAGGAGCCAGGCTCTTAACCAGTGTGGCTGACAGATCACTGTTTTGCCTATAACATGACACTGCCCATCAAATCAAGGGGTCAGAGCAGATGACCCCTGTTACTTCTAATATCCCTTATGTCTGTGAATTGATTCCATGATCATTTTAGACTGCTTGTATTTTCATTAAAAAACAAAACAAAACACGTTAATTTTTGGAAACTAAGTAAGATACCCTCCTTTGTATAAGTATTTCTTGATATAGCCCTTTCTTGTCAAGTAAGATGAAAACGGCGCAATTCATTTCCTAAGCAGATATGGAAATGAAAATGAGGAATGCCACAGTTAAAACATTTTATAAAAGTAGGCAGGTAGAAATAGTGGTTATTCTCGGCCTCTTTGAGCTATGACAGTGAGTGCGGGCAGGAGAGACAAAGGTGGTAAAGCTGGCCCTGGCAATGGCATTTGCTTCACGGTCCCACGAAGAGAGATGTATTAGAGATCCTGTCCACATCTTTTTGTTGCCTTCTGATCAGCGTCGCAATCTGTAGACAGATCTGTCAGGCCCGTCACTGCACATTTCAGTGCACTCAGAGTGAAGGAATGGGGAGGACAAGCATTACCCTTTCCGCATGTGGATCCCCCTCTTCATGGAGGGCATCTCGGATCCTGCAAGGCAAGATCCTCTGTGGAGCTGACTGAGGGCACAGGGCCAACCCAGAGTTAAATACCAGCTACAGTGCTTTCCTTTGTAAAGAAAATAAACATAAACGGAGGTTCCAGTCATTTCGTCCCATGTCAAAATAGATTGTATGTACGTATCTGCATAAACCTCACAATTTTTGAGACCAAAGTTGACAAAAGTATCATTTTTTTCTTATTTAAATCTGAATTTTATATTGTGGCTTTGCTTTTCTCTTGTTTGTTTTTTGTTCACCCAGCTGGCTTTTAGAATGGAGTCTGGCTTGTGTTTCTTTCAGTCTTCCACAGTGTTTTGCGTGTAGTAGGTGACCATTAACATACAAACACCCATTTCACTCTAAAGGGAGCCCCAGGAATGTTTAGTATCATTACTTTATTGTCTTGCTGAGGATGGGGGGCATATATCCTTTTTTTTTTTTTTTTCCTTTTTGGTAATTTGAACAAATTGCTTGTTTGCCTGGGCCCGATGGGTTTCTTGTTTATAGCATCTAAATGGAGTCATACTGTGCATTTAAACTGTATTCTCTAATTTGAAGAGCAGAATTTTTTGCACTCTCATTCTACTGTCCACATTAGCTGTTTATCTCAATATCTTCCTGTGACAGATCCCATAGAATATTCTTTTTCCTTCATTATGTATGTCCCTGATAAAAACTTCAATTTTAAGAGTCCAAACAGTCTACTCACTGAGCACTTTTATGTACCTGCATGATAAAGTGGGTTGGATAGTTCCGGGCTGTGAGGAATAAGGTGGACAGGGGTGAGCTCTCAGTCCATGAAGGATGCAGGAGTGTGGCCCCTTTCACTGCCTTTCATTGGTTTATTGATGCCGCACTGAGATGTTCATACAGGAGTCCCTCTAACTGGTTCTAGGGATGTCTCCAGAAATAAAGAGAAATAACCAACAGTCATTCCCGTCTTGAGAGAAGCTCTGCCATTTTCTTGGTGGAACAGAAGAGTGTCCTCCGTCCTAGCTATACAACAAAGTCCCCTTTACAGAAATCCTGAGGACAGTTAGAATCTCTTGCGTGGCACCAGCCACCTGTATTTTTTTTAAGTAGGCTCCACGCCCAATGTGGAGCCCAATTGAGGATTTGAACTTGTGACCCCGAGATCAAGACCTGAGCTGTGATCAAGACTCAGACACTTAACCAACTGAGCCACCCAGGAGCCCCAGCCATCTGTAATTTTGAGAGCCCCCCAGGTGATTCCATTGCTTGGCCAAGGTTGAGAGTAATAGTTCAAGGGGCAAATAAGCTGATTAGGTCAATAGAAGGAAAACAAAAGATGTAGGTCTCAGTAGAGGTAAAGGGACTCAACAGTAGAAAAGAAGTTACCCCACGATACACGGTTGGAAAAGATGAAACAGTCTCGTAGCTTCCAGCTGAGGTAGGAATAGACCTTCCCTGACTGCCGTTGATCACACAGGGAGGGTTAAGGTGTTGGCTGTGAGAACCAACAATTTATAATCTGATCCAAGAATGTCTGAAGGGCTTTGAGGCCTTTGGCTTTGGAGGGTAGAGGTTTATTGACAAACATTCCAAGTTTAGAAATTCCTTGGACGTCTTTTGATCTGTTAATATTTTGCCCTGGTGTGTGCACCTGCACACGAGCACTCTCCTTTGGCCTAGGGCTACTCTACACTGTGTTAAGAAACTTACACTTAGAAGGTTTATCTGGTTTTGAAGATGTGCCAGGGCTCTTGGCCTAAAAAAAGAAAGATAAAGCAAATCTGTTCTCCTCTGTGCCACTCTTTTGGTTTTTATCCCATATCGCCTTGCTTTTCTCAGAAGGACATACAGCTTGAGCCAGCCCGTGAGGCCATGGAGTCTTCCCTCCCTGTAATTCCGGAGTCTGGCAAAGTATCTTCTCTCCAGTAAGTAACGCCTGAACGTTTGTCGGTGATGCCAGCAAACTCCGCCTATGTTGCAGGAAGCCGTGCAAGTACTGATCAAGCACTCGGCCGATGTCAACGCGAGGGACAAGAACTGGCAGACCCCGCTCCACGTGGCGGCGGCCAACAAGGCTGTGAAGTGTGCGGAAGTGATCATTCCCCTGCTGAGCAGCGTCAACGTCTCCGACCGAGGGGGCCGCACAGCCTTGCACCACGCCGCTCTGAACGGCCACGTGGAGGTGAGCGCCCTCCCCACTGGGCCCAAGAAATCTCCCCAGAGGCCCTCTCGGCCCCACGTGGAACCCAACCATGCTGCTGAGGCTCTTAGAGGATGTGATGCTCCTGGCTGCACGCCAGACCTTGGGCAGCGACAGCTGGTGCTCAGTGTATGGCCCGGGGGTTGAAAGAGTAGCCGCCAGCTCGGTCCTGTCCTCTGCCACACGAGCCACGGGGTTGTCGGGGACGCCAGCCTCCTCCCGTGTTTGAGCTGCAGGTCGTGGCCCCGCCTTTCGACTGGAGTGGCCCTGACTCAGATTATCTGCACGTTGGTTTTCTTTCAGATGGTCAACTTACTCTTGGCCAAAGGAGCGAACATCAACGCGTTTGACAAGAAGGACCGGCGTGCTCTGCACTGGGCGGCCTACATGGGTGAGTGGTCCCCGAGCGGGCAGGGGAGCGCGGACGGCGGTAACTGCAGAAGCTGGGCTGGCCCTAAGCACGTCGGTTTTCTCGTGGGCCAGCCTCACGTCTTTCCCAGCTCGCAATCCCGCTGAGTTAAGATTTGGTCCACTTTCCCGGCGTGCGTAGAGCCCCCTCTACCGCTGCCCTCCTGCCCATGAACCTGGCCTTGCGGGCCTCGCTTCTGCCAGCCGGCTGGGAGAGATGAAGGAAGGAGTACCGTGTCTGTGGTTTTTCTTTTTCACTTCTGTCGGCGCAGATGCCAGACAAATGATAGGCCTCATTGAGTTTATTCTCAGCGTAGACTTGTGAGAAATGAAGAACTGAGGTCCTTCCTTTGTATTTCTAACTGGAGAATGTCCGGCAATTGGAAAAGCAGGTGGGATTGTGTCAGCCCCAAGTTCTAAACCACCTGGGTGCCCATCCACCGGCGACTGTGTCGGTGGATGATAACGAGCTGCCCAGTGGGACACTGTGCAGTGACTACAGTGATGATGTCATTAGTATTTATTAACATTGAATGATTCTGTGTTAAGTAAGAACAGATCGTAGCACAGTGTGGATAATATGAGCCTCATTTTTGTAAAAAAAAATCTGCAATATCAACAATCTGGAATATATCATATGCTGAAATGTTAGCTGAGTATCTCAAGGGATTGGCAATTATGGATGGTTTTGGTTTCCTTTTAACACCTTTTGCCTTTTCCTAATCCTTTCTAACAAACCTGCGGGCCTTTTGTTATCATAAACAGCAATAACGTTAATGATGGAGAGAAGAAAGAGAACGGGTTGGGTAGGGATGAAATAAATTATGTGTGGTGGTTGAGTCTGAATGGGTATTTGGGCTTAAAAAACCAGAATCTTAAGATTTTGCAAACATTATCATTTTTTTTTAAAAGACAACGTGGGCTTTTCAGCTAATGGAAGCACATTGGATGTTTGCATGGTACCTTCGGGACTGGAGCCAGGGGACATTGGCCAAACTGCTGTTTAGGCAGAGCACACACTAGACTCGTGTGTGATGGGACTCAAAGAACCTGGGGTTCAAGTTTGTTCTTTGCTGATGGACATTTAAAACATTTACGTAGAATTGCTTTAAAGAAGTCAAGTCCTTATTTTGCGTGTCATCAGGATACAAATAGAAAAAAAATACGTAGGTGACTATCTTTAAGGAATAAAGGACAATACCAGGACAAAAGACAAAAGATAGCACTGGTTAAGCTAAGATAGCACCACCAGTCATTGAAAATAATTTTTCTATGTACAAGTCTTAGGGGGAAGAATGTCAAATTTTAATAAAATGAGCCATGACCAAGCATGTTCTCTCTCCCTCTTTCTGTCTGTCTCTATCTCACACAGACACACCCAACTCCCCCCTCCCCAACCAAGCACAGCTCTGTCTCCATGTCTTTCTTTCTCTCTCTCACACACACACTCATACCCACCCCTGTGCACATCTTAGACCCTTAGAGTCAGTACTTATCTTCTATGCCTCAGTTATCAACCACATTCACAGCAATGAACCAAAGCATCAAGCAACCTTCAGTCACAATATAGAGGTCATATATATTTATCGTTCTATATATAGTAAGATGGGGTACAAAGGAAAGTGTTCTAGAAAATATGCCAACAGCAGTTGAAACCGGAAGGGTTTCTGTTTAGCCAGTAATTCACAAGAACACTTTTAAGTTGAACCATATGAAATTGTCATTTTTGTGGTCCAAAAAGAAAAAAAAAGTCAAGCAGCAGCAATTTCTTATGATTTAATAATAATATGATGTTATTCTGATTACTTGACTTTTTTTCATGAATTTTTCCAAACCAAATTGTCCCTATTGGACTTTATAGTAAGGAATGGGAGCTGCTTTTAAAAACATTGCTTTCATTTTAACATAATTCTTTTTTAGGCTATGGTACTAACATATTGGCAGGACCTTGTTATTTAAAATATCGGTGGTAGTAAACGTTAATGGTTGTGATGTAGGTGGACTAGATCATCAAATTATCCTAACAAGGTTACCGGTGTTTTCTGCTGCTTTGTCTGTGAAGGCCACCTGGATGTCGTGGCCCTGCTCGTCAGCCATGGAGCGGAAGTGACGTGTAAGGATAAGAAGGGTTACACCCCCCTGCACGCTGCAGCCTCCAATGGACAGATCAATGTGGTCAAACATCTCCTGAATCTGGGGGTGGAGGTGAGCTGTGATGAGTGCATCAACTCATGGTGTATTTGTGGCTTTTATAATGTTGGGTTGGATTTTTAAAGATTTTATTTATTAATTTGAAAGAGAGTACAAGAGAGAAAGCGCACAAGCAGGGCCACTGGCAGACTCTCCGCTGAGCAGGGAGCCCAATGCGGGGCTCGATCCCAGGACCCTGGGATCATGACTTGAGCTGAAGGCAGATGCTTAACCGACTGAGCCACCCAGGTGCCCCTATGGGTTTTCTGTTGTTCTGAGATTAAATCCCAGTTGCATTTTAATTCAAGAGGGTTAAAAACCACCTTGTTTTCTAGCATCCTGTCTTTTTGAGTTTCCAGGGGTAACTGATGGAGGGCAATGGGGGCATACAGCAAGTAACGAAAAATCAGAAACTTGGGCTTAAAGAACCAGAATCTTAAGATTTTGCAAGCATTATCATTTTTTAAGGTTTTTTTTTTTAAGTTTCTGTATCAACACAGAGAAATATTTAAACGTATATATTGCATGTAATACATAGTTATCATTTTTTAGACAAGCTAGGGTTCTTCATCCTACCTTCAGCATTTAGGCCTCTAAATTGTGGTGTATGAGGTGCCTGGGTGACTTAGTCAGTTAAGCATCTGGCTCTTGATTTTGGCTCAGGTGGATGAGCCAAAATCAAGATGGAGCCCTGCATCAGGCTCGGTGCTGAGCAGGGAGTCTGCTTAAGATTCTCTTTCTCCCTCTCCCTCTGCCCTTCCAGCCCCAACCACAAATGCAATAAGGAAACTCCAGTGCTTTTACCTGCCCTGTGTCGGACTCATTTGCAGATCGATGAAATCAACGTCTACGGGAACACGGCCCTCCACCTGGCCTGCTACAATGGGCAGGATGCAGTGGTGAACGAGCTGACGGACTACGGTGCTAACGTGAACCAGCCCAACCACAGCGGGTTCACCCCTTTGCATTTTGCTGCTGCCTCCACACACGGTGCTTTGTGTCTTGAACTATTAGTAAACAACGGGGCAGATGTTAACATCCAGGTACGACACTCTTCAGCTCTCTTTCTGCTAGATACCTCTGCATTGAGCCTCCGTTTGAGCAAAATCAACTCTTATAAATGGGGTCCTATTTTAGAATTGGAACTCTTAGTACCTTGACCTCCACAGCCTTGTCCTATGTTGGCATGCTACGGAGACGGAGCTGTGTTGTTACTGCAGAAGTAGGAGGACCTGCTGGAAGGCCCTGGGAGGTTCTAGCCACATGCTTTGGTAGCTTAGTGAATGTTCTGGAGCAAATACAGGTTCCCGGGGATGTTGATGTGATCTAGTTTCTAACACTGAGGTGGATGTTGAGCTGGTAGGGCAGAGCTGCTGAGAATACAAAGAAAAGCCTAATCCGATCATGTCAGGGCTGTTCCAGCTGTGGCATGGCCCACCAAGGAGTTTCTCAGATACTTTGCAATAGTAAACCATAGGTAGTGACTGTAGTAGTGTAACATTAACACTAACCTAATAGTGGTCAACCGGTCCTGATAGTCTTTATGCAGCAAACTGACCGAGGACTATCTAGCACCCTCTGTTTGGTTCTGAGGGAGAACTCCAAGATGAGGTATGAGCTCTGCTCTCAAGGAGTTTACCGTATGGTAAGGAAATAGTGAACTCAGATTCTCATGCAATGAGAGAGAACGTGATGAGTGGCACGAGAGAGTAACAGAATATTGCAAGTGCTTCCTGCTTGGGGATCAAAAACGAAGATTGCTTTTGAGGTAAGAGTCAGGAGATTGAGACCAGTTGAGATGAGGAGAGAGAGAGAGAATCTGAGAGAGGGCATCCCAGATAGAGAGAACCACATGAACAAAGGGTTTGGGAGTTCCAGATAGGAAACACTCTGGGTCGACTCTAGGCTAGTAGTTAGCTCCGTGTAACGGATAGCCGAGAGGAACTTACGCACGGCCCTCACCATCCAGGTTCCATCACTTTGAGTGCATTTAGATTGTAACGGGATCTCCGCATGTGCTCAAAGGACTTCGTACTCATCCTTAGCTTCCCTTCTCCCCTGCACACAGGAATCCAGGTCCCCGTGTATTCTGCCTCTGTTTTTGAAAAATGATTCTTCCTGAGATTTAATTTTAAGAATATTGGATCAATCCATTTTAAGGACCTTCCCTATTCACTACTAAAATCTTTTTACATTTTTTCTTATAATTTCTAATAGTGGGGAAATAGGAGGCAAATATTCAGAATGTTGATTTATTGAGCTGGAAGGGAGCAGAAATTGTATGAAAGAAAGGAGCCAGGAACAAGCTGAAATGTGACTGGACCAAGGAAGAAGGCTTGCCAGCTGGCTGAGGAGTTTGGGCTTCTAGAAGCTGCAGGGACCACTAGTCACTGTAGTGGTCATGTGATCCAAACTGAGCATTAGAAATAGTAATCCGGTCACAGAACACCAGAGACGGAAAACAGGAAGGAAAAAAATTATATATATGATGACAAAAACATTTTAAATGTTTATGTGGCAAAACAAAACATAACAAACTAAAAATAACAAACTCTAACATATACAAAATTGAAAGAGAAACAATTCAGAGAAATTTTTCTACATTATACATGATGAGCAAAGAGTTCATGTATTTAATATATAAAGAGCTCATAAAAGCCAGTAAGATAAAATCTGATAACATACTAGAAAATGTGTGTAAAGGCAGGTTGTGAAAGAGAAAACAATATCCATTAAACCTATGAAAAATATTCTGTATCATTAGTAATTAGAAAAATGCAAACTAATGCACAAGTACATTTACTTTTAAGATTTGTAAATATGAAAAAGACTAGTAATACCTACTGTTATCATTGAAAAAAATTCATATGCAACAAGTAAATATCTAATTTTTTAATTTTAAAAAAGTTATGTGTCCCCCTGGGGAAAAATATATTATATGTTTATAAAAAATAAAATTAAAAAAAATTAAAAAAAAAAGAATAAAAAAAGTTATGTGTCTGGGTTATACACATAGAAAGAGAAAAGTACTTGGAATATATACCAATATATGATCATTATGGGGAGGCAAAATTATGATTTGAATTTTTTGTTTCATTTTTATGTATTTGTTTTAATCTTCTGATAGTGATACATAAGATGTGTTATTTTTATATCCAGATGAAGAAAAAACATTTTATTTTTATAAAAAGAAAATTCAGGTAGAGTGGACCTAGACAGAGGACAATTAGAGAATAACTGGGAAGTTAGTAAAACTCGTCTAGATAAGAGGTACTGAGGACAGGGGAGGGGGACAGCCAACAGAAGAGACAGGCATTGTAGAAAGAAAATCAATGAAATTTGTTTGGGTGGGGAGTTGGAAGAGTTGAAGACAAGGGTAAGAACTGAAACCTGGTTCAGAGGTGACAGAGGATCCCTAAGGATTCAGTTCTGAGGCTAGGGTGCCTGGATGGCAATCCTAGCCTTGACTTTCAGGAATTGTATGATCAGAAGCAACCTCTCTGGGTGCCTGTTTATCTGTAAAATTTGGGAAACAGTAGCATCTTCTTCATGGAACCTCTGTGAGGATTAAACCAGTTATCTCATATAAATTACTTAGAATGGTTCCTGCCATGTGGCAAGCACTCAGGAAATGATTATCGTTGTTACGAGGGACATCAGGAGAAGGACTCGGCTTATTAGGTTAAACAGTTAAGTTGTTGAGAAGGTGATTTTGAGCCTTTGGTGCCACCAGTCTGAGAAAACCAGTGATGGAGTATGCGATCCTCCCGCATTGGGACAGCAGAAGACAATAGAAGAAAAAACTTAGGCTCCCTTGTTCACATAGAGGTGATGGATCTTGGAGGCTGGAAAAGGGTGAGGTCACCCAAGGAGATAGTATGTCATAGCATGAGTAGAGAAAGGGATGGAGGATGCCAGGATCCCTTTAGTCTTAGGATCGGGAGGAGGAGGCAGAGCCAGAAACGGATGAAAAAAGAAGAGTTAGAGAAAATAGAAAGGAGTTGGAGGGGAGCATGATGTCTTCATGGAGGTAGAGAATAGGCAGAAATGAAGAAATAGAATATTTAAAAAGAATTTGAGTTCCATATCTTGTAAGTGGAGCCCATCCAAGTCCTAAATGGGGGTAAGGGAAGGCCTAAGAGGACATGAAAGAGACCAGGAACTGTAACCCAAGGTGGGAAGAGTCATCATATGGTATTGAAGTCATGGAGGACGGTGGTGAGGAGGCAGGAGGTTGACAGGTGGCTGAACTGGCAGTGTTCCCAAAACTTGTGACACTTGTACTGCTGTTCTGGTATCTGAATGACATCCTTCAATTCTCCAAAGAAAGGAAAATTATTACTGAAGTTAAATAAAGTAGCTCTCGTCACCAAACTTCACTAAATTAATTCAGGGGGTTGTCCGATGCTCTCCATTCCCCTTTTAAAGCATGCCAACTGATGTGCTCAGTATGCCTGCCAGCAAGGCTAGAAGGCCACTTCTGGAGCACCTGCCCATGTTCCCCAGTTAACTGACTGGTGCTCAGTTCAGAGTAGTTCAGGGACTCCAACACTATATGGAGTTTATGGCAGTTTATGGCAGCCTTGTCCTCCATAAAATGGACCTGGAAAGCATGACTCCTTAATTTTAGTAATTAATTCCCCCCATAGACTGCTAATCATCAATAGAATATGAGAAATAACTTTTTAAAAATCTGAGACTTAGGTTTATGTATTATCTGATCTGAATGAATGGGGCTTTGGTTAAAATTAAGCCCTCTCCCTCGGTCTCCTTTCATCTCCTCTGTTTACATCCTCTGGCTTCCTTCTCTCGAATCCTCCTTCACGATTCACTCAGGAGGCATGGATCGTCTAACATTTCCGTAGAGCCATTTTGTCTGACTCTGGAGGTAGTTTTCTAATTGAAGTTGTTATCTCTCTGGGCCACATTGCTCCTTGGATTTTGAAAGTGTTTGTAGATCGCAAGACGATTTGTATTTGTTTAGATTTTCTGAAGTTTGGCGGAAATAACATTTTGAAACGTAGCCAGTAGCCACCCACATATTCGCTTTGTTTTCCTCCATTCTCACAAAATACTAAAAGCGATGTCTTCATGGACAAGTACAAGATGATGGAGAGAAAAGGAAGGATACTATGTCCTGAGCACATTTTACAATCCTCCATTTTCCTTAGACTGGCCATGGCCCTGTCTGTCTTTGTAGTAATGGTGGTTTAATTGTGATCAATAATAAAGACACAATACTTCAGACAATAATCCATTGAAGGTTCACTTGTATTTCACAAATAGAAAGAGCATGAGAAGATACAAAATAATTTTTCTCCTCCATTACAGACTACGTTGTAATTCCGGTAACATCCCAAAGCTCTTTTTAGAAGCATTCAAAATGTTAAAGAAGGCACTACATACATAGCTATTCCAAATACTACTTAGATGGATTCAGAATTACCCTTACCTGGTTGCCTACCTCCAACATTCAGACCGCCCATGGTCTGAATTCTTTCCTGCCCCTGGGCCCGTAGGCTGTGTAGCCCTCAGACACTGGGGCTGAAGTCTATCGCACATCTCCTGGAGTGAACCAGCTCCCTTATTTATATGTACCAGGTCCAAACTATAGAATGACTTGCACTGCAGAGCTCAAAGGTGAGAACTAGAACAGGCAAGAGAAGAAAGCAGTGATAAGGACAATATGATTGGAATTTTGGAGAGCTTGTGAGGGAATGGGAGAGGAATGAATGAGAACCAACCAGTACCGTCTATGGCCTTTAGAGCCATTTAAAAAATTGAACTGTGTATGGCTTTTTGAAAATTAGGGTTTTAGATTGCTCTTCCCTTGAATTAGGAAGCCCTTTTGGGTTTCTGGCACATTCCCCCTAACTTAGCCTGCCAGCTGGCCTTGATGTTGTCTTGTAGAGTCTCTGTTGCCTTCTAGTCGGGCCATTGAGCTGTGTGACTCCCAGAGACACATGCCACAGACAACACAATGCCTTCAAGTTCCTGGGTGGTAGCAATGTGTATGAGTTTAGGGAAGGTTTGGGGGATGTTGGAGGATGGGGAAAGAAGATATTTGGTGTGGAAGATGTGATGGATTTCTGAGGAGAATGGTGGTCAAGGAAATTGAAACACTCCATTTAGTTCAAGGATTAATCTTCCTGCTGAAATTTGCCCTGAAAGACTACTGACATTCATAAAATATTCTCAGTCTTTTTTAGTTTTCTTTCATGACCATGGCTGAGCTGTGCCTAAATCAATAGCAGGGCTTCTTGCATAATTAAAAAAAATCTCAAAAAACCAAAATTTTCCGAACCCTAACTCTGATGGGAAAATGAGTCCAAAAATAGGAAAGAGACTAGAAATTAAGAAAAGAATCTTATAACAGCAAAGCTTTGAATGAGTGGAAGAACTGAGCATATCCTTTCCTTTGACAATGCAAGGGATATCTTATTCTTGTCTGAAGTTCTTAAAATAGCACTAACAGCAAGTCCCCCCCATGTGACAAATTTCTCAGGCAGATAATGAAACTCTGTAGTATCCCTAGTCTCACCCTGAATATCCTGAGTTCTAACTTGTAAAGACTAAATGAAAAGTATTATCCTTTGACCTTCATTAGTTTCCAGTGACTTTTTACATTCAAACCATGTAAGCACAATTGTTCCAAAATGGCTCCGTGATATTGTCAACTCTTCCTGTCCCCACTTCCCCCACCTTCTGCCACCATATCCCTCAGGGGAAAAAAGTCAGCTCAGGGCTGGACTCCGCAGTAGATGAACCCAGGAAAAGGTACATCTGATATAGCTGTTCTTTGTATTTTACCAAAATTTGGTCGTCTGTTTATTTGTCCCTTTACCAAAGGCACAGGCATTCCACGGGAGACAGGGGCACGGTGTTGCTACCCCCGGGATGGAACCAGCTTTGTCAACTGCACACCACGGAATCTGGTTGCTTCTGTGGCTTTCGGGCTGCAATTTAGGGAGTTACCACCAAGCTGGTAGTTATTCCCTGGTAAAGCCTTTAAGCCATTTTCCAGTCATGGAAAACTTCTTAGCTAAATATTTATAAAGATATTACCTAAGCACTGAAATATTTATGGCTTTATATATATTTAACTAAGAGCTAATTAGTTGTGTTTTTCGATTAAATTTAAGGGAAAATATTGGAGAAAATTTTAAAGAAATAGCACCACCTAGGGACAGATTAACGTCAACTCGGCGATTTCTGTAATTGTGTCCCTGTCCTCTTGGTTGCTGCTCCTTTCTCTCTAAAAATACCCTTTCGGTAAAGCTTCAAGCTTACTTCCATCTTCCTTTTTCAATCTTTTCTGACTCTGGTTATAATCATAGTAGATGAGAAAAGATCTTGTTTTCTCCCCATCTACCTGGTGCCTTTTCATTGTAAAGATTATTTTTCAATCGATGCACTTACCGTTCTGATGAATTCTTTCCTTGGCAAAGATTGTGCATGTTTCCTTTCTTCCTTTCTAAGGAACAGACTTACAGGCTGTAATAAAAATTCTTCTGCTACACCCTTGTGGTTTTATAAGCTATTCAGAACCCCTCCGTCTAGCAGTAGCTCCTAAACTGTAACATACTGTACAGGTTAGAAATGGGTATCCCTTTGTCCCCGCTCGGACTCAGTGGTCTGGGTCAGGACACAGAACTCACATCTCTAGCAAGAACCCCAGGTGGTTTAGACACAGTCAGTCTTTGGTTCACTCTGAGAAATACCGATTCAAATGATTCTTTGTTCCCATTGTGAAGTTTTTAAAAGAAAGAGTCATTTTTAAAATGTATTTTCAGGTTCCTATGTTTTCCTTTTTTAAATTAAAGTATTGTCTTATTTGAGTCTAGTTGACATACAGTGTTTTTGGTGTACAGTACGTCAGTTTCAGGTGTATAACATAGTGGTTCACTTTCTCTAGATGTTGCGCTCAGCTCGCCACAAGTGTAGCTCCCACCCGTCACCACACAACGCTGTTGCAATGTTGTTGCCTCTATTCCCTGTGCTGTGCCTTTTATGCCCATGACTTATTCCCTAAGTGGAAGCTTGTGTCTCCCACTCCCCTTCACCCATGTTGCCCAACTCCGTACCCTCTTTCCTCTGGCAACTGTCAGTTTGTTCTCTGTATTTATGAGTCTGTTTCTGTTTTTTATTTTATTTGTTTATTCATTTGTTTTGTTTTTTAGATTATGCATATGAGTGAAATCCTATGGTATTTGTCTTTCTTTGTCTGACTTATTTCACCCTCCAGGTCCATCCATGTTGTCACAAATGGCAAGATCTCATCCTTTGTATGGCTGCATAATATTCCTCTGTGTGTGTGTGTGTGTGTGTGTGTGTGTGTGTGTGTCTGCACACTACATCTTCCTTATCCATTCATCTGTCGGTGGACACGCAGTTTGCTCCCATGTCTCGGCTATTATGAACAACACTACACTAAACATAGGGTTGCATGTATGTTTTCGAATTTGTGTTTTCATTTTCTTTGGGTAGGTACCCAGTAGTGGAATTACTACATCATATGGTATTTCTATTTTTGAATTTTTGAGGAACTTCCACACTCTTTTCCACAGCGGCTGTAACAGTTTACATCCCCACCAACAGTGCATTTTAAAGCACAGGTATATGGGTTTCATTACAAAAATAAACTTGCCTTTTTGAAATCTCATGTCTAATCTTAGACTTTGGAAAATGTTTCTCCTGCGAGTTATAAAAAGAATAGCTACATCTATTTCTTTTTTTTCCCCTTCCATTAACAGTATCTGAATGAAAGGATACATTCTGTCTATGGGGGATACTTAATACTTTCTTTTGGGTATTACTATTTTTAGATGCAATTCTGTAAATAACTTTCTTAACAAATGTGTAAGACTTTAGTATTTGGTATAATGATGATCGGTCTATAGATTCCATTCATTTTTCATGTTTTGGCTTAATCTATAGCAGGGAGTTCTATCATTTATGTCTAAAATAATAAAGAGATATATAAATTCAGCACATTCCCAGGTGATCATTGAAATGGCCACTTGCTAAACCATTGTATGTCTTAATCTTGTGATTTCTAATGACTTAATTGAAGCAAACATTTCTGTTTTGGAATAACCAGAAGTGTCGTTTTCTGTGGAATCAGAACATAGGGAGTGGAATATTCCAGGTCAGTTCTGAGGGCTGCCGTCATTCACAGCAGCTCAGTCAACTGTAGGTCAGACAGGGCCAAGTCAGGTAGCACATCATTTGTCTTCTTTCATGTACTTTAGACAAAATTTGAAAACAAAAATGCCTTGAAACCATCTTCATGGGTAGATCGCAAGAGAGAAAAAAGCGTTTTGGATGATTGCTTCCATTTGAAACAGGATAGTTTTTAAAAATTGTCGGTGTAACGAGAAATTTCACTTCTCTAAAGTAATTTTCACTTCTCTAAGCTTCTTTACAATGGGATGTTATGCAGTAACTTGAGATAATATATATGCTTTTTGTTTTGCTTTCGAAATTATCTTTTTGGCTTTTGTCAGTTTCTATTAGACTTTTTTAAAAAATCTGAATTGACTTTTTTTTTTTTTCCCCAGAGCATCGGCAGTAGTATCCATAGGGACATTTCAGACTGACGTCACTGATCCATTGTTTTTCTCCCCCTCATTTTTTAGAGTAAAGATGGCAAAAGTCCACTGCACATGACAGCTGTCCATGGAAGGTTCACACGGTCGCAAACCCTCATTCAGAATGGTAAGAGAGACCCTTCCGCAGCATTGTTCTTTGTTGGACAGTATCCTGATCTGAGTGGGGCTGTCAGTTATCTGAACATCGAAGATGGTGCTCTATATTAGATGATGGTTGGATTTATTAAGCTGAGACTTACACCATCCTTTGATGCACTTTGCTAAAAGTTCTTTATCAGACATCATCCCCATCCAGCTTAGAAGTGAGAACATAAAGCCACTGTTTCTCGGTTAATTCCTAGTCAGTCAAAGAACATATGATTTTGAAACTGGAAATGATGTACTTCTATGGGCTCAAGGTCCTGCACTTTTCACTCTGAAACTAATACAAATAACTATCATACATTTGCTAGCAGCAAATCTGAATTATTTCTAAGTTCTACAATTCACCATTGTTTTCTAAGTTAAAACTCTTTAAGCTACTTGGGCAAAGGTAGAGAAAACGAGGTGAGTCAGAGGAAAAGGAGTTAAGTGCATGATATAAAAGATGATAAAGTCATGGGCTTGATAGAGACCTTGGAAAGCCACGAATCTAGTAATTTTCCAGGCTGATGACAAGGGTATGCTTCAACCACTGGGTTGTCTCTATAGCTACAGAACTAGGGAGTGTCACTTCACATGATGCTTCCTAAGGCTGTTATGGGTCATTGCCAGCATCTGTGAGTGGATTGACCTTGACCACACAGCTACTGCTTTCTTAGCAAATCTTAGAGACAATTAAAAGCAAGAACAAAACAAAATAGAAAAACACGCAGGGTTAATCCAGATTTTATGCTGACATTCCAAGTTCAGCAATTTCTGAACTATCTTTAGTTGACCCTCATTTGTACTTCTCAAAATTCTGGCGTTAGTCAATTTCTTGGACCTGCCTTTTTCTCATTTATAAGAATTTTGGACAAATTGTTAGTGATACTGTGTTACGTCCTCGGCACTCAAGTCATAAAACCAAAAAGTTACTTGACATTTGATGGAAGATCCGCAAGGGAAATTATGCTTAGGAAGCAGAACATCTGCAGCAAAGCAAAGGAAATTTATAGGCATTTCAGTGCAACTGTAGGGGACAATCAATCCTGACCAGTTTCCAATGAGCAAAGGAAGGTAAAATGAAAATTAACTGCACAACACCCATTAATTCTAATTTGAAATACATGGAAAGTCTTTGACATTCACTTTATTGAAGGGGCCCCTCTAATTGTTTTGTTTTGCTTGAGGTAAACAAAGGGAGATGGCGAGCGACCTTAGAGGCTCCCCTCCTCACATTTTCCTCATCCCATATAGTTCTCAACTGTTTTGTTTTCAGAAACAGTGTTCACTAGCTAAAAAAATAAATAAAACTAGGGAGATAGTTGATATCTATTTTTTAAAAATTTAGTGTGAATGTAGTCAGTGGGCTTACCTCTGTGGTATAAAAGCTCTGCCCCCTCCTAAAGCATATTCGAGCACGAGCAGTCAGTCAGATCAGAGAAAGAGCAAGTTTCTGCTTGTAAACAGTGCCTCCCTCTGGCCAGACCACCCTGGCCATCTCCTCTGAATCAAGGCCATGACCCATCTCCCCGTGTAAAGCTAGTGTGCTGATAACGGTCTGGGGATGCTGCTGGCTGCTTTGACCTCTCCAAAAGCCATTCCTGTGGACCTGAAAGACTCCCTGGCCCTCTCTGGACGCCGTTATAGGCTTTTGAGTTGGGATGAGATCTGAAAGAGAACCACCTTTTGTCCTTGGTGATCAAGCGGCTTATTTCAGAGCCTCATTCTTAGATGCCCTGGCACCTTCCCTGGGGGTCGGGTGGAGTCCAGGGGCCCAAACTGATGAGACACAGTGCCCTACTGTGCAGCCCCTTATATATAATGATGAAGCTAGTCCACCCTGTGCCAGGCATTTGGGTAAGCACTCCCCGTAAATCCATGAGGAAGAGGTGCCGTTGTCATCTCCATTTAAAAGGGAGGGAAACTGAGTCAGGGAGGTGGTTGCTTCCATCAGGATACATGGCAGGTATGTGGAGGAACAGGAATTGAAACAGTCTAACCTCAGAAACTGAACTTGCAACCACCACACTTACAAATGCGTTCTCTGAGTGAACAACGGCATGTTTAGACCAATTTGTTTTCAAAAGATTTTATTTATGTATTGGTCAGAGAGAGAGAGAGTGTGCACACACAAGCAGGGGAAGTGTCAGGCAGAGGGAGAGGGAGAAGCGGGGTGCGGGGCTCCATCCCAGGACCCTGGCATCATGATCTGAGCTGAAGGCAAATGCTTAACTGACTTAGCCACGCAGGCGCTAATAAAAAAGTGTTTTTTAACCTGGGTTTTATTTACTTTACGAGTCATTTATATGCAGACTAGGGTCATCCCTGTAGAAGGATGACCTGCCATTCTCTTCTCTCAGCTGACAGTTCTTTGCATTCATTACATGTGAGAACTGTGAGTTCTTCCATTTGACATTTTAAAAAACGCCCTTCGGGAGAAGAGTGGGCAGCTCTTTTCTTTCCTCCTATTTGTTAGCTTCCTTCTGGGAAAAACCCAGAGGCTCACACCCCCGGGCCTGGTGTCTGTCCTCCAGAGTGGGTCAGTGCACAACAGGACTGTGAAAGCCGGTCCCACGTGGGGACATCGGTTGGCTCCCTGAACCGACAGAGCACGCTACTGAGGAACATGCTTTGTGTTTATTTGTTTTGTGAAATCACCCTGGTGTTTGGACTTTGTATGACATTTCTCTGCTTCCCTGACTGTTCTCTATCCTTGGTTACTAGGTCTTCATAATAACTTTTTCCAGAATCATTTAGTGTGGGTAAGACAATTGCCAAAAAAGAACAAGAAAAGAAACAGACAAACCAACAAACAAATAAACAACAACAAAAAAACCCAGACACACACACACACCTCTTTTATTTTTGAAGATAGTGAGCAAAGACTACCTCTGTGTTCATTCACCTTGTTTGTTGTCTGAAGCTGGCTTGTGGCAGCCAGAGTGGGAAAGAGCTGAAAATGTGATGGCTTAAGGCCTTTGATCCCCCCCTTCCCCCTCGGCCGCTGCCTCCGATGCTGTCCAGCAGGTTAGCGGAGTTCAAAAATGATGTTTTCTTCACAGAAGCTTTAAAAATAGAGTTTGTAAAGGAAGAGTCCAGTGATGGGCTAGGATGATTCATTGCGAGATTTTCGACGTTTTGGCTCAGAGAGTTTCCAAAGCAGTTTAATAAGATGACCATTTTTGTCTGAGCAGGAAAAACTAACTTCAGATGAATGCTTAGATAATGCTGCATAAATTACACCTTCCGACATGCTTTGCATACTTTTAAACTCATAAATGTTGATCTTCCTCACTAGTTGTCAATAATCAAGTACCGAAGTTTAACTTGCAAGCTTCAAATGAGCAGTAAAGATACTTAATTTGCATGTCAGGCAAATCTTAAAGATTTTCAAGTGAAAATGGAAAGGTTTAGGGAATGACTGTAAAATAGAAATTCATTCATCTGGAGGTCCTACTCTAATATAAAACATATTTCTGAATAACAAATACTGTCTCTCTCTTATTTGTCCACTTGTATGATGTTTCTCTGAAACATTTTAAATGACAAAAGCGTATGTGCGAGATAATTAAATATATTTTTACAGTTTTAAATGGACTTATGAGGGGCACCTGAGTGGCTCAGTCAGTCAGCGTCTGACTGTTAATTTCAGCTCAGGTCGTGATCTCAGGGTCACGGGTTCAAGCCCCTGTTGCGGGGAAGCCCTACATTAGACTCTGCACTGGGCACTGAGCCTGCTTATGATTCTCTCTCTCCCTCACTCTCTGTCCCTCTCTCCGTTTGCATGCTCTCCTTCTTTCTCTCTCTCTCTCTAAAAATAAGTGAACAAGTAAATACATCAATAAATAAATAACAAATAAGTAAAATGTTGAACTGACTCATGAAAGAGTCATATTTGGGGCTGATCAACATGGGCGCTCTAACACGTCTTAAGATGGTTTGGTGCCTCTTAGCTGGGAAGGACGCGGAGCGCTTCAGTGTTTGTCCAGGACAGAGGTTCCTCTGGAGTCTGGAACCTGCCTCCCCTCTCTCCCAGGATCAGTTCTGGGCGTGGACCATTCAAGCCGACCACGGCGGCCAGTTCATAGATAGGTACCCGGACCCTGGACTGTTGTGCAGTATCCATGGAGACAGATATTGCAAATATCGTCACATGTGTCAGTTTCTTTATTGTCAGGATGCGGGGGAAGCCTTTCTAACCTCAATGCAAAACTCTAAATCTAATAATAGAAAAGAGATGAATTCCAAAAATAGGGGTTCTTTTTCAGAATAAAATAACAAAGAAAAATGAAAATCAAAGGGCGGAAATATTGGTAATATGTATTACTGATCAATGGTGAATCTCCTAAATTTTTTTTTTAAAGATTTTATTTATTTATTTGACAGAGAGAGATCACAAGCAGGCAGAGAGGCAGGCAGAGAGAGAGGAGGAAGCAGTCTCCCTGCTGAGCAGAGAGCCCGATGCGGGGCTCGATCCCAGGACTCTGAGATCATGACCTGAGCCGAAGGCAGCGGCTTAACCCACTGAGCCACCCAGGCGCCCCTCTCCTAAATATTTTAAAAGCTCTTGAAAATCAAGGAATGAAAGACCTCCCCCCCCCAACACACACAGAAAAATGATCAAAAGTCATGAACAAATAGTTCATGGAAAAAGATAAACAAATAGTCCTTCAGTACATGAAAAGATGCTCAAATTCCTTAATATGAGGAGTGCAAATGAACACTGTCCTGAAATATTACTTCTCGCCTGTCACATGGCAGGTGTCCAAAGGCTTGACTAGGCTGTGGGGAAAACGCACTCATACATTGCTTATGTGAGTAGCAAAATGGCACAGGACCTATAGGAGGAAATGTGGCAACATCGAACAAAACCACATATTCATTTCTTTGACCTAGAAATCCCCTTTCTAGGAATTTACCCTGAAGAGACCCCCCCAACAGACAGGAAACAATATATGCGTGAGGTTGTTCACTGCAGGACTCCCGATGATAGCAAAATGGTACTTACTACCCAAAGGCTTATCCATACCAGACCTGTGACATAACGAGTATCTCCATGCAATAGAAAACAATAAAGTTGTACAAAAACAAGGAAGACCTCCAAGAAGTGATTTTTAGGAGTGAATTGCAGGATATATTGTTAAGTAAAAAAGAAACGGAAAAGGAAAAAGAAAGCAAGGTATAAAGAGTCCGTGTGTTTATTTATTTTTTAAAGATTATATATTTATTTGTCAGAGAGAGAGAGAGCGAGAGAGAGCATGCACAGCAGGGAGAGTGAGAGGCAGAGGTAGAGAAAGAAGCAGGCTTCCCGTTGAGCAAGGAGCCCGATGCAGGACTCAATCCCAGGACCCTGGGATCATGACCTGAGTTGAAGGGAGCCTCTTAACTGACTGAACCACCCAGGCATTTATTTTTTATTTGTCCACTGTGTGTTTATTTTTACAAAGAGAAACACAGAAAGCATAAACCAAAACTAATGAAAATGATTACTGTAGGATGTGGTTGAGAATGAAGTGGAAGGGATGGGAATGAGAATGAGTCTTTAAAAAAATATAATTTTAGCATAATCTCCTCCAGTCTCATCCATGTTGATGCAAGAGATTATGCTGAGTGAAATAAGTCAAGCAGAGAAAGTCAATTATCATATGGTTTCATTTATTTGTGGAACATAAGGAATAACATGGAAGACATTAGGAGAAGGAAGGGAAAAATGAAGGGGGGGCGGGAAATCAGAGGGGAGACAAACCATGAGGGACTATGGACTCCAGGCAACAAACTGAGGGCTTTAGAAGGGAGGGGGTGGGGGATGGGTGAGCCTGATGATGGGTATTAAGGAGCGCACGGATTGCAGGGAGCACTGGGTGTTATACACAAACAATGAATCATGGAATGCTACATCAGAACCTAATGGTATACTGTATGGTGACTAACATAAGAGAGTAAAAAAATGAATAAACATTAAAAATATCATTTTGACTTCTGAAACATGTGAATTTTTTACATACTAATAAAATTAAAAGCTGGTAAAAATTTTGAAAACAATCAAATGAGTGTAAACTATATATCTAGTTAATAATATAAGCATACAGAATAAAGAATTCCGGTAACTTTTGAACAAAGTACTACCTGTTAATGCTAAAATCCTTGCTGGGAATTTTGTTGGGAAATAGGATATTTGCACATTCTCAAAGTACCACTCACAAACTGGTTGTTAATTACAAACGGGAAAAGACATTTTACACTGGCCAGTGCTGGCAGGCCTCACCTTAACCAAATAACCAAGCCCCTTTTCTTATTGTGGTAAAATATATATAACGTAAAAAGTTACCATTTTAACTGTTTTTAAGTGTGCAGTTCATTGACACTAAGTACATTCTCATTTTGTGTAACCAACACCATTGTTCCTTTCTAGAACCTTTTTCATCTTCCCCAACTGAAACCGTAGGCACTACAATTTTCAAAATAGGCATCACCCGGTGGACTCACCCGACCTTAGTGCATGCCGTGGAGATTCCGTGGGAAGGGCACTTCAGCTCTGGGGTGGTCGTGCCAAAATGTTCTGAGTCGAATAGAGGAAATAATCAGACAACTCTAGAATGCAGAACATGCCACACAATTCCTGGCTTGACCTCCAAAGATATCAATGACATAAGAGAGAGATGATAGATAGATTGATTGATTGTTTTAGATTAAAGGAAACTAAAGGCACATGACAACCAAATGGTAGCAGAATCTTTTTGATCTTGGATTTAAAAAACTAATAGCTATAGTGCACATTTGGGGGATAATCAGAGAAATTGGAATATATTATATATTACATAAAATTATGGTATCAACATTAAATTTCTTGCGTATACTAATAGAATTATAGTTATGTGGAAGAATCTCTTTGTTCTTAGGGGTGAAATGTCATGATATCTAACTTTTAAATGGTTAAATAGACCAGGGCTCCTGGGTGGCTCATTTGGTTAAGCGTTTGCCTTCAGCCTAGGTCATGGTCCCAGGGAGCTTGCTCTTACCTCTGCCTGCTGCTCCCCCTGCTTGTGCTCTCTCGCTCGCTCTCTCTCTGTCTCCCCCTCTCTCTGACAAATAAGTAAAATCTTTTTTAAAGACCAACTGTATTAACATACATATTTATGAAAAGGGGAGAGAAAGAAAGAAATGTAGTAAAATAAAAAGTTGGGAGAAAGAAGACAAAATAAGATGAAAATACTATATAATTAAAAGGGCCATCGATGATTAATGTAAAAGCTTTTATAAATATAGATATTTCTAGTTCATAGTTATACGTTCACTCATTTTACTCTTCATATTTTAAACCAAATGGTCAAACTACATAAAGTATTTTCTTGAACTTTCTATTCTCTTTGGTTCTGATGTTTTAGTATGCAGCCTATGTAGGTCTTTAATCACGCAGATAAAATTAAAATTGTATCTTCAGAATTACATTTTATGGAATTTTATAAGTTTTTTCCTTCAGAGCAGGAATTTAGATGTGAGATTTTGGATCCTTAAATAAGATAATATGGAAAGAATTTTGAAAGCATTTCTAATAGACTTCGCTCTATGCAGATTTAATTATACTATTATTTCAGAAGATGATGTGTCCCCTGGAAAGGCATTCTTGTACTTCAGATCAGAGATGTACACAGAGGGGGAAAGAAGTCAACATTTGGACAACACGAGTGACTAGCATAGAGTGTGGCATCTGAATCAGCCGGCATCCATATGTCACCCCATATTATAACCTCTCTTCCAGGCGGTGAAATTGACTGTGTGGATAAGGACGGCAACACTCCTCTCCATGTGGCTGCAAGATACGGTCATGAGCTTTTGATTAACACCTTAATAACCAGCGGAGCTGACACGGCCAAGTAGGTTACTGCAAAAATCCAGTGGGATAATTGCCATGTGTGGGAGCACTGCCAAAGGGGTCTGCCATGCAGTGGACAGTTTCCATTTATCTAGGTTAAGGTAGATCTCTACCATTGGGCTAAATACAAGTGAAATTTGAACTAAATTAAGTGACTTTTAGTGGTGGATGCAAGAAAGAACCAATTTTATGTTCAGCTACTTCAGAAAGAAGACATTCCAGTGGTTTTAATTAAGGAGACTTGAACTCTATCCCTAACTCTACTTTCTAATGTTCTGTTCCTTCCAGTGTTTAATGTTGGTTAGGCAGGAAAAATAAGACATGGTTGGGCAAATTCAGGGAGTACCATTGAGTAAATCTGCTACATGGGGAAGGGGGGAACCTGACTTCATTTTATACTTCCGTTCCCCAAGAATATAAGCAGATACACAAGTCGGCTACAGTGCTGGGTGCTATGGGAAGTTTTGGAAATAAATCACCTGGTTGGTACCTTTAAGGGGCTCATAATTTTGTTAGAGGCCAAGGCCCTCTTAAGACAAAGAGCCATGCAAGAGAGTATATAATAAAGTTCTAAATGAGATAGGACTTAAGTGGCAAAGTGTTCAGTGTAGACAGTGTATGCCATAGCCTGTAGACAGGAGAGAGCTCAAAGGTGGCCAGAGTTTTCAGAAAAACCTTCAAGCAGAAGGTGAGTAGTAAGTAGGCTTTGAAGGGTAGCAATGACTTGAGTGGAGCAGAGGGTGGCAGACATCCTGAGCAGGGAGGAAAGCAGGAACAAGAGTTGAAAGAGTATAATTCCAGGATGCACTGCCCTGAGGTAGCCTCATGTGCGGGTTGGGAGCCCAGGCTTTCATGGGCACCACATGGGCGCCAATCCAAGCCACCTTACCTGGGAGCTGTGTGACCTAGTGCCTATTGCTTAAGCTCTCTGTGCTTCCGTTTCCTCTTTTCAAAAATGGGAGTTTTGACAGTACTTGCCCACAGGTGTGTTACGAGGATTAAAGGATTTAATTACTAGTAAAGATCTCTGGTATAGGTTAAGATCAATGTGAGTAGGAGTTATATAAATATATTCCCTAACATAAACAAGAGCTCTTTGTTTCTTAACAAAGCTCTGTTAAGAGCTCTTTGAAGAATGCCTAGCCCAGAGGAAGCTATCAACAGCTATTATCTTATTATTTAATAATATGCCGTAGAACCAAATTCAAGAGAGCCTTAAAGAACTGAATAGAGAGTGTAGCTGTGACCACAGAGACCATGTGTAACAAAAACTAAGTTTTCAGGAGAGCAGTATAAGGGCACTGTAGCATTGGGAGTTCTGTTTTATTTGCCAAGTATTGTGCAACAGAACTAAAAATCTTGCTTGAGAATAAGCCAAAATTTAAATGGTCCATGGAAGGCACTGGTGGCTTCCAGCAACCTCCAAGGGTCCAGTCTAGTGGCAGGAACAAGATCCAGAGCAGACAGCTCAAGTCTTGTGAAGTTTGTACCGTGCTGTGGGAACATTCAGGGAGATGCTGACACTGTGGGTTTCACAAAAGAGGGGACATTTCAGCAAAAAGAAGGATGGGTAGGAGTTAGCCAGGTAAACAAAATTGTGTGAGGTAAAAAAGATGAAGGAAACACAAGGAAGAACAGTCCAGGAAAGGAGAACAGTATTTACAAAGGCACAAACATGTCAATGTGTTGAAAGCAGATTGCCAAGCCTGGATTACCTGATGTGTGTGGAGAAATGGAAAGCAATGAGGTGGGTTGGCAGGAAGAGCCGCCATCTTGAAGGACCTTGCGTGTCCTTTGAAGGAGTTGGGTTCTGTTCTGAGTCATTCGGAAGCTGTTAAAGAATTATACGTGGATGTAGGGAAGGTTGTGTCTCATGATCCCATTTGTGCGTGAGAAAGATCACTCTGGCCATAGCCCAGACGTGGGGGAGGTGGTCCAGACCAGGGACATGTGGCGGCCTTTTGCACATGTCCAGGAAGGAGAAGATGAGGCCTTGGGCTCCGGGTGAGGCTGGGGGCAGGAAGAGAGGGCCACGGTGACAAACAGTGAGAGCAGTGGGCTGTCTCCTTGCAGAAGAAAGGAATCCACTTACAGTCGAAGAACCTTTTTGCCTGGGCTACTGCAAGTTGGAAGAAGCAGCTCAGTCTTGTGGAAGGAGCACTGTCCTAAGATCAGGGAGCTCTTACTGGATTCTGAGTTCCCTACCACACCATGGCTACCCAAAGCCAGAGGTCAGAAGTGCTCCGTGTTCATTGAGCAGGAGTCAGATATCTAGGCCCACCCACTTCACCTGTGATATGTTAACATTTACAGTGGTATTTTTCTTTCCACTCAGGGCTACTTGGGGTGTTTTAACCAAACAACCATGAATTTCTGATTTTATTCCAGACTTGGATCCACCTGAGGGAGAGACAGGGCCCACTACTTACTCAAAATTTCCCCAAACACATTCCCTCTATAAGCACAAGGTTTGTTTCTTTGTAATTATTTTGCCCTCAGTTTACGGGAACACACACCATGTGGCAACAGTGCCTTAGAGATGGCGTTGTTGCCCAGTAGCCTTTCCTTCCACCGACTGTGCTGTGTCCTGGGGATGCCACAGAGGCAAACATTGTCCCGGACTCAGGGAGCCACATCTGGTTATGTCACAGCGTACCTGGGGATAAGAATGCTTCCTGCAGTAAACAGTGGTTCATTAGGCTGCACTCGTGTGTGTGTGTGTGTGTGTGTGTGTGTGTGTGTGTGGTGCATGGGGAGGGAAATCACCTGAGGGGAAATGTCAAGATAGGGGAAGGAAAATTGGAGAAGATTAAGTTTGCAAAGAGCCCTCAGAAAATCACTGTTCTCTGGGTTCCTTGTAGGTCTATGTGGAATAGCTTATTAAAGAGGAGAAAGGTGGGACCTTCCTTCTATTAATACCCAGACAAACAGATAGCATTTATGAAAGTACCTATCCTCACTCATAAACAATATGACCAAATGTATTTTAAAGCTCTCTATATGACAGGTACTATGGTCATTACTTTCTTACGGAGTTGTTTGATTCTCCTTCTCGGCCGACGGAATGTTTTTGATATTCTTTTTCCTTCTCTGGGCTTCAAGTCAGAGCACTTTCTGCAGCTTGACTCAGGGCTCCTGCAACTTTATGTGGTGGTTTTTCTTCTTTAACATTTTTGGGTTCAAGACGCTTGTCTCTGGGATTTTAATTTGTCTTCTACCTTACTGATTCGGCCTCAACGGCAGCAAAATTAGGGGCATCCAAGTTGACGCAGGTAACGGGCTCTGCCATCTGTTCATTCGCTGCGTGTTTGCAGAAGGTCAGCTCCTGGCCTTGCAGGAGTCCCTGCCCTCACGGAATTCATAATTCACGGGGGGGCAGGAATTAAATAAGCAGTTACAATCAGGCATGCAAAGTGTGATTCCAGAACAATCTCTGGATGCCACTGGATACAGAACATATGTGGGACCTACTGGGGCTGGGGCAGGGGAGGCTTCCGGGAAGTGCCGTGCTGATGGGGACGGCAGGGCGGATAGCGGTTGGTTAGGTCGTGGCACCGACAGGCTTGCAGATCCCAGGTGTAGACTTACAGTATGTTTATTTTTACTATTCATTATTATATATAAATATATAAATATTTACATGTATAAATATATATTAACTTATAAATATATATATTATTTATAAATATAAATATATATTATAATAAATATATTATTATATATTTATTATTATATTATTTTTATTACAATGTTACTCAAATGTGGATAAATGTAAAATTAGATAGACTCCTTAGGCTTTGACTCTACTCTGTCAATAAGTCCAAAGAAACCCCAACAGCATCCATGCAAACAGCACTCAGTGCTCATGGGTCAGCAGGAGCAGCAAACGTTCATGAGGCCTTGCTTACCCACGCTAGGCACCGGCTCTCAGGAATTATACTTAATTGTCACAGCGGTCCCAGGGGTAAGTGACACGATTAGCTCCATCTTATCAGTGACGTAAATGAGACACAGAGAGGTTCACTTACTTCCCTGAGGTCACAGAGCTCGTGAGCAGGGGGAAATGAGACTGTGTCCTCGGCCATCCGGATCTGGAGGTGAGGCTCCTCGGCGAGAGGCTCACTGCCTCTCTGCGTAGTGGAGGGTGGGACAGCGCACCATTTGCCAAAATTAAATCGCCATTGTCCTGGGGTTATTGTCCCGGTGGCCAAGGCACTGACTCGTAGGAGATTAGCACATGCTGGGCGACTGGAAGTTTTGCAAAGGCTTCGATGCGGTACAGGTCCAGTGGGCTGGTCACACAGCACAAATGCCAACTGCCCCAAATTCTGCGCGTCTGGAAGACTAAGCCTACTGCATTGTTACTGGCCCTTCCCAGCTCCAGGCATCGTTTGCCTGTCACGTCCACCTTTTTTCTGTTGTTATTGGCCCCTGCCGAGTACAGTAGCTCCACATGGCACCAGTGTGGTTCCGAGGACAGACACGGGTGCTGGCATACGGCCGAGGTCTGTTGTGAGAAGGTGGTTGTTGAGATGAGCCAAAACGCGCTCTTAGATCACTCGCTTTAGGTTATGATCAAAAGGAAAAGACAGTTTAAAGATCCCCACGGAGAACTCGTGAGAGCCCAAAGGTGTTGCCAGTGGCCCCCAGAGATGCACTAACAAGCTTGAGAGAGGCTATGAGAAGGTGGGCAGAAAGATGAGTTTCTTGAGACACCCACGTGTGCCCAAAAAGGCCTCGGGCAGGATAGAGCCTTGGCTTTTCCAGGAGGAAGGGACAGAAGTCGCTGCAGTTCTAGAGTACTGGTCGATGAAGCAACAGCTGGATCCAGAAGCGGCTTGTAAGCTGTGTTAGAGTGTTTGGTCTTGATTCGAAAGAAACCACTGGAAGTGTCAGTAGGTTGCAAACAGCAAGGACCAGCCTTCATTGTTGCCAACTGTACCCAAATGCCTCCATCTTACGGGTATCTGATAAATACTGAGAATGACGTAGATGAAATTAATAGGAAACTGACTTTTGATTTGGCTTGATCCGTCAAGTAAGAAGCATAAAATCTCACTCCTGAGTGGACAGAACTAAACCAGTCCACCTTCCCTAGGAGATTTGTGAGATAAGTACCATAAAGAATTCTGAGTATGGCGCATAAACAATGAATTCTGGAACACTGAAAAGAAATTTTAAAAATAAATAAAAAGAAAAAAAGAAAAAAAAGAATTCTGAGATGTAGAAAGAAAACAGAAATGTTAGTTGATCACAATTTTTTCTTGGCTTTTTAAGAGTCACAAACCTGATTTTAAGGAATCACAGCCTGATAAGACTTCAAAACTCACAGGCTGCTGATTATCCCACTAAGCTAATAATAATTTCAAGGGCAATAATAATACTAACTTGTATGGTAAAGTCTTGTCATGGTCCAGACCTTCTGTTAGCACTTGGGTGCATTACTAATTAGTTTAATTGCTAATTATTAATTAGTTTAATTAATTAGTTACAGTTGCTCTATAAAATCAACACTGTTATGATATTTGTTTTCTGGATGAGGGAAGCATTATGTACTTGCCAAAGATCAAACAGCTGGCAAGTGTCAAGATTAGGACTCAGACCCAAGGTTTTTGACTCCATCACCGTAACTACAGTGTTTTTTTAGGGTATCGCCTGAAGGAAGGCTCTGGAGAGCACTGGAAGTGGGAAGGAATGGCCATAGCTCTCTGATGCCAAGGGGAGAGCTTAAAAGGACTGATGTTCTGATAGTGCATGAGCCCTTTCCTTACCTCCGATTGCTGTCTACAATTTATTCTGACCTCATTTATTCTGAAATAACTGGCCAGGAGATGCCAGCTAACAGCTAAATTAGAAATAGCTAATACAAATGTGTCCCATTAATTTTATGACTGGTCAAATAAATGTAGCATTTTAGCTGGAATTGGTCTCCTCTTTCCTGTAATTTATGCACTGTTAAGTTTAGTGTTATCTGACATCTTTATTTCTTGATCTTCTTTGATGTATATCTGACGAAGTCAGAGTGACGCTTCTTATTTGCCTAGGACAGCCAAACCCTAATTTCCCTGCTAAAGGTTTTATGGCTCTTCCTTTATAAGCAGTCTTACTTTATAACAATAAAGGAGTAATTTTATCTTGAAATGCGTGAATCATTTCTGAAGTGATTCAGAGATCCTGAATTTGACTTTTATTTCCAATCTCGGCCTGATATTTAGTTTTCGTATTTGAACCATAGTATCATATTCAAGTTCAAATGTCAGTGGTACTTGAGTCTAAATTAATGTGTTTTCAAACCTACACTGAGATAGTGATTTTTTAATGAACGATGGAATAAAATACATATATCAAACAGAATTATTGCTAGACCTTTTAGAATAGTTCTACCCTCCTTAGCTTCTCAAGTTTTTAAGTAATAGGAAAAAAAAAGGAAGGAATTAGCTAATGTAGAGTATGATGAATTATCTGAAGACAAGGATGTTAAGTGTCAAAGTTTATTAGAAATTTTCATATGAAATTTACAGAGTATGTTACCATGCTGTTGTTGTTATACTATCACTTACACCTTTTATGTTTTTCCTAATTGATTTCTTATAGAATTGAATGCTATTTTCTCTAATTCATTTGCTTATATTATTGTATGTAAAGATATGTATTTTTGTATCTTTATGAAATATGTATTATATTATGTATATATACATATGTGTGTATATGTATGTATATATAATATGTATATAATATAAAATGTTTTAATATATTTATATTTTGTAGATTATGTATTTGTATACAAATATATTTTTATTAAAGTTATAGTTAAAGAATGGGGAAGGCTCAAAGAAATCTTGGGAAATCCCACCTAATTCCAGGCATATTCCTTCAAGAACTTAAAGCCATCCTAGAAAATACTCTTTTTGTCTCACAAATGTCCAGAGATAGTAATATCATCACGTTTTTGCCTTACTTGCCCTAAACAAATAAAGTTACAGACTCCTTGTCTTAAAATTCCACTTAGTAATGTGTTTTTAAAACACATTATACATTTTTTAAAAATCACTGTTTCCCTGGCTTCAAGAGGACAAAGTAAATGCAGCATAGATGGGAAAGCTGCTCTCCCATCCCCCAATGCCGCTTCCTTTCCACGAACATCAAGGTTGTCACTGGTGCAATTGCCTTTCAGAATTTTTTTTGTCAATGACGAGAGAGGCAATTACAAGCAGTTCCCCTCTGCGTGACGCTGCCCGGAAGACAAGCAAATTGTGGCTCTTGATGGATGCCAGCTATTGTAGACAGTGGGTTGGAAATCTCCATATAGGGAAAGGAAAACCAGCAGAGGAGAGACTGAACAAAAACACCAATACACAGAGAGAAGTTTTCATGGAAAGAGAGGTGGTTAATTGTCGGCAGACAAGGACTTGGCAGAGCGCTGAGCACCATGAGATGGCTGGGAATATGTTTATGCTTTGACACGTTCACACCCATCATCAGAACTTTTGAGATAACAAATACAAGTCACATATCTGAAACCTAACCCACTCCAACCGTATGTGTTTCTTAATGCATCGTGCGATCTGAAAAGAGGCGACTTTGTGTGAGAGAAGGAACTGTCGTCATTGATGCTGCAGGTGGAAGTAAACGTACTTACTTGTGTTATGCGGCGGCTTGCAAAGTTTTGAAATACGTTATTTGACTCTGATGGGATGTTCTGAGAAATGAGCACTAGCATTATAAATGCTTATGAGAACACCGGAACCCCCCGATGATGCCGCTCATTAGGAATGACAGTTCAGCGCCCGGCTTTGGGTCCTTGTGTGAGGAGAGGTGATGGGCAAGAGGAAGATGGGATTTTATTTTTTTTAAGATTTTATTTATGTATTTGACAGAGAGAGACACAGCGAGAGAAGGAACATAGGCAGGGGGTTGAGAGAGGGAGAAACAGGCTTCCCACTGAGCAGAGAGCCCGATGCGGGGCTCGATTCCAGGACCCTGAGATCATGACCTGAGCTGAAGGCAGACACTTAAAGACTGAGCCACTCAGGCACCCCAAGGAAGATTTGATTTTATTTTTAGGGTTTTTTCTTAAGATTTTATTTATTTATTTGACAGACAGAGATCACAAGTAGGCAGAGAGGCAGGCAGAGAGAGGAGGAAGCAGGCTCCCTGCTGAGCAGAGAGCTGGATGTGATGCGGGGCTCGAGCCCAGGACCCTGAGATCATGACCCAAGTGGAAGGCAGAGGCTTTAATCCACTGAGCCACTTGGGCGCCCGGAAGATTTGATTTTAAAGGAAAAAGCACTGCTATCAAAAAGCACCTGTCCCTTAAGGGATCATCCTGGGGACTGTGTTGTGAAGGGGTATCAATCTAAAAATTCCTTTTCTAGATTCTTTCTGTAATATTGTTAGGGAAAGTATGCTAGATTTATGACATGTATGCCAGGTAACGTTTGTTGCTGCAGTGCATTTTCATGACCGGTGTCCTGATGTGGGTAATATGCTGGATTAAAGTCTGGTAGGAAGATGAAGTTGCACCTGCAAAAGGTCAACATTGGTTTTTATTTGCATCCAACATTTTGATTTCGATAGTACAGCCATTATTAACTCTCAGCGAAGTATTTGGGACATAATAGGTCAATAGTGTTTCTTTACCAATTCAAGGAATAGAACAGGTTACTGAATAAAACAGATAAAATTACTCAGCTGAAAGAAAAAAAGGTAAATTAATCTGAAATATAGCATTACCCTTTATAGGAAACATTATCTGAAAAAGATACTTTCTTATTGTCAGGGGTTTTTCATTCTGGTCCAGGTTCAGGATTTTATCATGTTAATGTGGGTGCTCGCTTCGGCAGCACATATACTATCATGTTAATGTGGAAAATGATCGCATAATTATTTCCTGAGTAGAGGGATCATGAAATTATTTCAGGCAAGGGCCTCGAAGCGAGGTGTTGTGGATTTAGTTTTCATCCAAGAACTTCCAGAAACGTTACTGTCCTTCTGCGTCTATTGTGAGATGTCCCCCTGAGCCACTCTTTTTTCTTTTTTTCCCTCCTCAGGTGTGGAATCCATAGTATGTTCCCTTTACACTTAGCAGCCCTAAACGCTCACTCGGACTGCTGCAGAAAGCTTTTATCGTCGGGTAAGTAACCCCTTCCCACAGCCGAGGCTTAACGTGTCCTGTAAGGAGCCACTTGGCTCGGGGTGTCTGGCCAGAGGAAGGGGCTGCTTGTGCTTGGTGTCATCCATTATCTGGTCTGGGGACAGGTCCCAGCAGTGCTTGGTGTTGCAGCTGTTTGAGTGGAGGTATTCCTGGCCCGGAATGAGAGTCTTGCCTGTTTTTCCAGTTAAAGCTTGGGTGATCCAGAGTGAGAGACAGGCAGGGGTGGCCATAGCTTCCCGGAAGTTTGTCGGAATCAGGGAAAATTTTTTGAGGCTTAAAAGGGTGGATTGAACAGTTAATATTTTCAACAAAGGAAAAAGGCCAAATCTGCCATGTTTTGACTGTAGAAATAGCACGTTATCTTCCTCCTCTGTGGGCTCTGATAAATCGCTATGGTGTGATCCCCTCCAACTAGGTTTAATTTTTATTTTTTTAAATGTGGGTCGGTTTGGAACCAAGATATTTTTTCTGGTTTGGAGCTTTGCTAATCTTTCTTATCACTGCTTCTGCCAACCTCCCTGTATTAAGAAGTTCCTGGCTTTCAAAGGTGATAGAGGTCTGCAAGGCAAAGATTGTTTATGAATTAATTCAACAGACATCCCAGAGGCATTTTTTTTTCCTTTTAAATGCTTTACCTATGGTTGATTCTGCCTTCACTGCTCTTGGCATGTTTAAAAATCATTCCTGCATGAAAGCATGTTTCTCAAATCTTAAACCAACTGAAAGCTAATAATACATGTAAGAAAATATCTACCCCAGCATGTTAAGATTCCTCCTTTGCTGTCCATGTTTTCTCCATGTGTTCTGTCTGCCTGTCTAGTGCCCTACTTATCTCAAATTGGTTTCATAAATTTCTATCCTGGGATTGAAATATGGGGCTGTGGTTCACCCAGGGCTGAATGTGAAAATAAATTCTTTTAGACTTCACGGTTCTTCCTATAAAATTGCCAAGCTTGAGCAGTTACCATTCGTTTCCATGACAACCTCTTTCTGACTACAATTGCTTGCGTTCTGGTTTTTCTACTAACTGATTTTTCTGTCTCTGCAATGTTTCTTGTGGTTTAACTAGGACAAAAGTATAGCATAGTATCCTTGTTTAGTAATGAGCACGTGCTGTCTGCAGGCTTTGAAATAGACACCCCAGATAAATTTGGAAGAACGTGCCTTCATGCTGCTGCCGCAGGAGGGTGAGTAATTAGCAGTTTCCTTTCTCCCTTCATGACTTAACTCCTCATTTCTCTTACTTGGCTTAAGTTGTCTGTGAATCACAAGCAGTCTCCTTAGATGGGTAAGAATCATTTCTACCGACGCCAAATAGCACTTTTGCATTTCCATATTAATTGTAAGTTTGTTCTTCCCAAGAAAAATTGTTAGCCCACCTCATAGAGAGAATTGTTTTCTTTCGTCTTCTCTTCTCTCTCTCTTTTTCTTTCTTTTTTTTTAATTGTAGGTCTTCAGCCTATAGAATATGTACCTACCTGATATGCACTCTACCAAAAGAAAACAATTTGAGATTTGTTCCTAAGTTTTTCCTTTTTTGTCACTGGTAGGTGGATGATGATCAAAGGAATCCAAGATTGAGTTAGTTCATGTTTATTTACAGATATTTTTGTCCTGATTTCAAAACTTATTTTTAAGTACATCAATGGTTAAATGTGACTAAAGTGCAAAGAAACCCAAGGGACAGGCAAGAAACAATTTAATTCTTGCCTTTTTTTTTTTTTTTAAGTTGTAAAGAGCATTTTTCATCAGACACCCTTTTTCATATCAGTGGTGAGACTACGGCTCTGGTCAGCGAGTTTCGATATATGACCAGACATTGACCAAACATGGCCTCCCTCGGGTGACCTTGTTTGGGTAAGGTGTTAGTTCTCAATCAGTCTGCTAGTCCTCAGGGAACAGTGATGCTTCTCCATTTGTCATCTGTACATTATCAAAGGCATTACCTCTTTATCAGAGGTGGGTTGACTGTGAAACTTTAGAGCCCTTACTTGCATGGGTCCCTTCCGAAATTGTGTATTCAGTTTTATATTCATAATTATCTTATTTTTTATATCACTCTCCTTCTCCCCAACCTTCTCCCCAAATTGAATGACCTTCATAAGCCAAACACCTAGATCTGCCTCTGCCTTTGTTCCTTTGGCTTCACTCAGTAAGAGACAGGTGCTTTTACATCAACTGGCAGGCAACACCAACACATCATGGTTCCAGAAAGTTCTTATATTTTAGGACTGAAATAGACGGTTCTCTGAGAAAGGTGGCTACAAAGAGTGAGTGGGGGGGGTGGGGGAGCCTTGCTCAGGTTCCTCGTTAATGAGATCATTTTTCATATTAAAATGATAATAAAACAGTAAATTCTAGACTGCCTCTCAGCCCTCCAAGTGTAGAACAATAATGGGTGATTGTCTCTTTTTATGCCGACATTTAAAAAAATTATCAGACCTTGGCAACGCACCATCCTGGGTTCATATCTGAAACTCCTATTACAATTAATATTTAGCGACATGCCCTTCAATTGGAAAATTCACTTCAGTGGGTCCTTTATGTCTACTAAATATGATTTATTGCTTCTGAGAGTGACAAAGAAGCTCTGGAACATCACTGTGGCCCCTTAGATTGTTTTTGTCCTTTTATTTTTTGCACATTTATTTACCTATATTACAAGGACAGGGAAATGCAGTGGTCTCATTTCCCATTATGGAGAGTCTGGGTTGAAAATGGTTATCACGGTGAATTCATTCTCCTGTGATAAAAGGTAATGTTTCTCCATTCTGGTTCATTGTGTAGAGGTGACGTGAAGTTATCATAGGTGTAAGGGGTTGTTTCCTAAACTCTTGATGGTTTTGAAAGAGATTCTCAGGCTACACGATGAAAATACCACTGAAGGTCTAACCATGGAATCATCATTAAATACCTTTTTCTTGGAACTGGAAAGTTCCATCAAGCTCTTTAATGCATTGATGTATTAGCTTGGAACTTTAAATCCTTGCACAGTTCCATTCCTCTAAGATGTTTAGGTTGGTTTTGCATTAGCAGAATTTAAAGCCAGAGCTCTCATTTCATCGTGGCCCAAAATCAAAATCAGCTCTGTCTGAAGATAGCCAAGCAGTTGACCTCTACCATCTTAATGAGGTTTTCCCTGTCTTTCTAGTAATGTGGAATGTATAAAACTCTTGCAGAGCAGCGGAGCAGATTTCCATAAAAAGGACAAGTGTGGGAGGTATGTAAACGGGGAATTCTGCTTCAGTGCCTCGGTGACGGGTGGGGAGCAGTCCTTCTGGAATCGTGTTACAGTGAAATGGTAAACAGGGAAGCTAGCTAGGGAGATTCCATGCTCAGAAGGAAATCCCTTTTTGTAGCGAGACACCCACGAGGCAGACACAAGCCCCAAGGCAGGCATGTCCTCTCATGGCTTCTGTTTGGAAGTGCCAGCTGTGTCTTGTCTTCTTCTGGTCTTTTCCCATAGCATCTCTCTATTCCCTCCCCTCCACGTGCACCCTGGTTCTTGAAGTTACAACAGATTTCTTCTCTTCCCAACCTGCCTAGGCTAATGCCTACCCACCCTTCCAGATTTCTGTCAGGTAACACCTCCTGCCCCTGTTGGCAGGGCTGCCCCACCTCTCTGCTCCCCTGGGACCTCCCTACTCCACAATGGGAACACACATCACACTGTTCTAATGGACCCTGGCTCTCCTGTCTCTCCCTTCCCCTGACCGTGGGGCTCCTGAGCACCAGGACTGGGTCTCATTTTCTCTTTACCTAAGGGCTCTGCCACATAGTTGGTACCTAATAGTTTTCCATCTATTAATGAAAACACAAACAGTCCACTATGTAAAGTGCTTATAATTTTCCTGTTTTGGGATGAGCGAGGAGAAACTCAACAAGTAAAAGTGCCCATACATTGACTGTAAGATATGAAAGAGTGGTGCTTGAAAATTAATAAATAGTTCTTGAGATAAAGTTATTTTATTTCTAGCATTTCATTTGTTTATTATTCCCTAACTATTGGCTAGTGAATTCATGTTTCTGCAGTCCCTTACTCTTGGCAAGGTGCATGTATTTTCCTGTTACCCACTTGGTTTTCCATAACAACTCTGTGAGATAGATGCAGGTGCTTCTTACCCTTTTCAATAGGTGAAGAAGTTGAGCTCGGAGAAACTAAATGAGTTATACCTGTAATAAATTTCCATGTATGTGTAAAATATCAGGAGTTTTTGACCTAAACTAGATGTTGGGGGCAGCTGCTCACAGGTCATTATTGAAGGAAGACGAGGAAGCCCAAGCCCAGAGAGGGGTGTGGTTTGTTGCCCCTTATAGATCTGTCCGGACTACAACATAGGGCTTCTGAGTCCTTGGACATTGTTCTTCCTGTTAATCTATATCCCTACCCACAAGGGGCTTATAGTTCAATGGAGAAGATGAGACAATACCGAGAGCTAAAGTTAAGGCAGTGTGAGATGAGAGCTCAGGAGAGACCAGACAGGAGCTGCACGATCTCAGACAAAAGGAACGGAGAACTTCTGGAACTTAAGAAGCTTTGGGGTTTTGGTGGGTGGAAGAGGAGAGGACATTCAGGAGAGGACATTCCAGGGAAGAAAACAACATGGGGAAAGGTAGGGAAGATGTGGACATGATTAGACAAACTTCAGGTGGCCCACTTGGATGCAGTGATGGGTTCATGTAGGGGGGTAGAGAGAGAGTTTATGAAGGTAGTTTGGGCCCAGCTTGGAAAGGTCTTTGATTTTAGACTAAGGAATCAAGGCTTTGCTCAGCAGAGAGGACTGACGGTTTTAGACCAGGATGTTGTGTGTGGCTGTCGGAACTTACAAAAACTCATTCTTCACTCATACCAACTAGAAATTGGATGGAAGTTTGATTAGAGCTAAGGAGGCCAATAGGGATGGTATTGCAATAGTCCAAAAGAACACTAGTGTAGACCTGCACCGGGACAGGCACTGGGAATGGAAAGAAAGACTAGATCCCCGGGTAGGTGTCCTTGTCTGAGGCCCTGTCTTTGTAGCCTCAGCTCCAACTTATAAAGTCAAAGGAAGGCATGTCCCTTGGCCTCTACCCCCTGAGAGCTGAAGAGCTTTCCCCACTCCTAGGAATACCGCTGTCAGTGCTCCTGCTGAAGGCGGGGGGGGGGGTGGTTATCAGATGAACGAAGTAACAAATCGCTGTCTGTTTTTCAGGACACCTTTGCACTATGCAGCTGCAAATTGTCATTTCCACTGTATTGAGACATTAGTGACCACAGGGGCCAACGTTAATGAAACAGATGACTGGGGACGGACGGCTTTGCACTATGCTGCTGCATCAGACATGGATAGAAAGTAAAAACAGCCTTGCTCAAATTTCCTTTGGGGGTCTGACTGGGGAGGGGGAGGGTTTGCTAAGTTCTCTTCATGCTGCCTCCTGGAAACTGTGAATGAAGAATGTCTCTCATCCAGACCCAGAGGAATTAGAATTGCCTCATCCCTAACCCTGGTTTTCCCATTCTGCTCTTTTTATGTTTGATTATCACATGTCACCACCCCATGGTTTCTCTTCTCTGGTCTTTGGGTTGAATGCCAAGTGGGGCTGTCAAGCCTAGGTTTTCAGTTCATTCAGAATCAGTTGTAATTTATTTTGTCATATCCTACAGTTTTCATCACCATTTAAATGCTTCATTTGCCCTCAAACTTAATATTTGCTAATAGATTCATCACATGGTGGAAGTATTCGTCTATATATGATCCCAGGAGCCTTCAAATGCAGCATCAGTGTGCAAAATTGGCACTGTTGTTCCAAACTGGGCACAGATGCTCTTTCAGGAGCTGGAGGAGAGGAAGTTGGGTGCCCTGCGCATGTTTGGATTCTAGGTGCCTAGGAACAGAAAGCCAGTTCAAGTGGGAAAGCGGGTAGGGGTGCCAGCCTACAGTTTCTGAGATTGCTCTCAAAGACTCGAGGACCTGGGTCTCCTTCCTAGGAATGCTTTTTGGTGTCCCTGTTTGGAGAATTATTGACTTATGTGGTGTGCTATGCTATGGAGTTGATTCTGGGTCAGCGCTAAGTTCTTTTTGTGTACAGCTGTGGCTTTCAGATATTTTATAGTGACCCACAGTAAGAAATACATTTTACATCATGACCCAGCATCCATACTCAACTAGGTATGTTTTAAATATAAATGTAAAAAGACAGCCAAAATTTCACAAGACCATATTTACCTTGACTATGTGTGATGCATTCTGATATCTTCTATTTTGTTAAGAAAAAAAAAAAAGCAACAAAATACTGCGACCCACGAAATTGATTTCACGATTCCGTGATGGATTATGACCTGTATTTCCAGTTTGGAAATCAGTGTTCAAATCCCCCTCACATTCATACACTGCTGGCAAGTCTGACAGAGCTGCCCTTGGGCTCTCATAGCCAGGCCGGTTATTAATTCAGCAAACATTTATTGAGAACCTACTCCGTAGCAGGCTCTGTGCTGTTCTCTTAGAATAAACTGGGGGAACAAGTACCCGTCATGTGTTAAGAGCTATAAAAAGGAATCCCTAGTGATGAAAGCTTGCTCTGGCCATGGAGGGGTGACTGGAACCCCACTCCTCAGTAAACGTGGTGCTGAGCTGACTAGGAGGCAGCGAGGCATGTGGAAGGAGTCAGGGAAGTGTAAACCTCCTGTTTACGCGGGGAGCTTAGGATACTCGTGGAAGGGTGGACGACTTGATGTCTTACTCGCCCTTTCCTGGGTGGGAGCTCAAGGGAAGCCACGTTCTCAGTTGGGTTCCGTGGAAGAGGATAGGGATGGCCTTTAAGAGAACCACGTATGTCCTCCCTGAAAAGACCGGTGATGCTTACTTCTTTTGGGTTGTGGGAAAAGTCGTTGAGATATAGGTTGGATCAAATTGCGAGCGACTGTGCCATGAAAGCAAATAATTGTAATTTTTTTTTTCTTTCCCTTATGCTGAGAAGTAAGACTATGTTAGGAAATGCCCATGAAAACTCAGAAGAACTTGAAAGAGCCCGAGAGCTGAAGGAAAAGGAGGCCGCGCTGTAAGTTTCTGCTCGGCTTAAAGTGCAAGATGGGGTCACTGGTGCGCGTCTGCTTTTCTGGTTGCCACGGGGGCCAGCCTTTTATTTGGGGACTTTATTTGGGATCTTGAGGAAGTGATATGGGCTTGCCTTTAGTGAAGGATATATCCTTCGGTTATGCTATTTTCACACAAGAAACTCTTCCTAAAGTTGGAGCCTGAGACCGTCGCCGTGATGGGTCCGCGGTTTCTCGGAGTCTGAAATACCATGTTTGACTCTGCCACCTCTCGTATGCGGCAGGAGACATGTTAAGCCTCCCCCCGGGGCCTTAGGCTCTCCTTTAATGACCTGGGGTAACTATCTGGCAGGTTCTAGAAAGAAATGTTCTGAGATTCCAGTGTGACCTGCACTGCTTGTGCCCTGCGCGCCCCCAGCACACACACCGCAGCTCACAAACACCCCCTGCCCCACCGCATCCCACGTGCCCCTCTCTGGCTTCCGGTAGAGACTCAGCCTGGATTGTGACAAGAGCTGGGAGTCACTGCCATCACCCAGGGGTGCCGAAGCGTAGGAAGCACTAATGCTTAGTCCTCCGAGAGTCCCTCCTGTGTGACAAGGCACCGTGCGAAGGTCGTGCTCTGCCTGGAGCAGTGCCTAGTGTGTCACGGGGGTTCGGTAACTGTTTGTTAAAAAATGAGCAAATGAATGAGCGCTGCCCACATTCTGTGTCCCGCTCTGTGGGGCCTGGGGAGGGGGTGCTCTAAGAGTCTGCACACATGGTTCCTAACTCGTTTATTCTCTTCTCCAGCTGTCAGAGGAGCCCATTTCTCTGTCACCCGAAGGCTTGTGTCCCTTCTGGGATCTTCCTGCTGTCCACTGGGCTCTCTTCCCATGTCCAGACCATGGTGGAGCAGGGAGTTAGAGAGTGTGGCCCTGATACAGGCTGTCCCTGGGGTGAAGACAGGACACATAGTAAAACAATGACCAAGGTTTGGCCCTAACGTTCCAAACTTAGTGATATTCAAAGGCTGTAGAATCTTAAGCCACCTCAGCAAATGCCCCTCCTCCAGCAAAATGGCAACTTGCCCAGTGCCAGAGCAGCCCTATTGACATCTGATGGGGAGGGAGCCTGTTGTCAAGCATCTGCTTCAGCTCAGGTCATGATCCCAGGGTCCTGAGATTGAGCCCCGCATTGGACTCTCTGCTCAGCAGGAGGCCTGCTTCTCCCTCTCCTACTCCCCCTGCTTGTGCTCTCTCCCCCTCTCTCTCTCTCTCTCTCTGTGTCAAATAAATAAATAAAATCTTAAAAAAAAAAAAAAAAACAGCTGTGGAGAGGGAAAAAGGACAAGCAGGGGAAGGCAGGGAATCAGCTTGCTTGAGGGCGCCTTCGTGCAGAAGCCATACCTGTCACCCAAATGCAGTCCTGATTTAAAGGGCATGTCTTGATTTTGCAACTTTGGTCCCCAAATTGCTGGCCATGGCCTGGGAGGAGAAAAGACAAGCATCCCCAGTTAAAACTGGAATTTATTTCCCCTCACAAATGATATAGAGAATATTCAAGTTCTGTAGTACTGTTGTTTTTCCTAAGAGTGCTGTCAGTAGCATCGCACGGCTCTGTCCTGGGGTAAATACTCTTTGAGAGCAAGTCCAGGTGTTTTTCAAATTACATATTAAATTCACCAACTGATTTTTAGAAGGTAGCTCTTTCAGAAGCTGGGGATTTTGTGTCCACTACAATGTTATTCCTGTTGAAGGATTTTATTTCAGGAGCCGAATGCTGCTTAAAGTGAGTCAGACCTGGGAGGCTGTCCATGGGCATTTAATTACAAAAAAAAAAAAAAAAGACTTCCTTTTAAGGTGCAAATCACCAAAGACTGCATGATATTAGGACTCCAGTATTAGTCTGATTTAATATGGAGCATTTTATGGATAATTCACATGACATTTGGTTTAAAAAATGTATGTCTTCCATCAGTTTTTCTAGAAATTGAAATGTGTTTTAATTGTGTTTGTGTGTGATTTATTTACTCCTTTTGCCTTATGCCAAAAAGTAGGTGAGTGTCATTTTAAAGTGTTTGAGTCACAGGATGGTGTATGGAAGTGTAAATCACTTTATTTTATACCTGAAACTAATATTACACTGTATGTTAACTAATCAGAATTAAAATAAAAACTTTAAAAAAAGAAATAAAAACAAAACCAAAAATAAAGTGTTTGAGTAAACTGTAGAAATTTGACTTTATAAAGGACATGTACATCCCAATGCTACAGATAGAAAACTGAAATTATGGAGTGGGTCTCCTGCCTAGTTATTCTCTTTTTTAAGCAGCAGGATTGTATGTTTTGTAATAGGCCTGGAACAGAACTCTGTACATCCCTGGGCACATGTGTCCTGGAGTTGGAGGCATTTCAGCGAAGGTGGAGCTCCTTCCTCCAAACTATTGTAAAGATTGTGGCTTTTTCAGAAAAATGACAACTTTGTCAGAAAAGGTTTTTAAGCTTATTATTTATTATTTTATTCTAGTCTATACATAATGATGCAATTTAAACCTCTCTCTTCAAATGTGGTTACAGAATTAATCCTTTATATTATTTAAATATTCGCTCATTCCTTTAATATTTTTATTGTTTGGGCTATTCTTAAGTTCTTTCTTTGTTGTTATTTTCTTATTCTTTCTAGCTTTCATTTCCCAACCTTTTGATTGACCGCCGAGTCTCCAACTGCAAGGTTAAAATACACCCCCCTCTCTTCTTACATTGGGCTGAGCACATCTTTGTTAAATTTGAGACTTCATCTTCTGAATGTGGAGCTCTAGAACTCAGTTTTAGTAATTTTTTTTAAGATTTTATTTATTTGAGAGACAGAGACAGAGATAGTGACAGAGAGCACAAGTGGGGAGGAGAGGGAGAAGCAGGCACCCCACCGAGCAGGGAGCCCGATGTGAGGCTCCATCCCAGGACCCTGGGATCATGACCTGAGCCAAAGGCAGAGGCTTAACTTTGCTTCACCTGCTGAGCCACCAGGTGCCTCTCTTCGGTAATCTTGATGGCCGACAGGTTCTGTGCACTGGGTGTCATGCGCAAATGATGAATCATGGAACACTACATCAAAAAATAATGAAGTACTGTACGGTCACTAACATAATTTAAAAAAATAAGGTAAAAAGGGAAGAAAGACTTAATTATTCTTTATTATGCTAAGTGAAACAGGTCAGACAGAGAAAGACAAGTGTCCTAAGATTCCACTTATGTGTGGAATCTAAAAAAGAAAAGAAATGCACAAATAAAACCAGACACAGACTCCTAAGTACAGGGAACAAACTGGTGGTTTCTGGAAGGGAAGTGGTAGAGGGATGGGCGGAAAAGTGAAGGGCTTTACACGGTCCCCTTTCCAGGTATAAGATACATAAATCATGGGGATAAAAGGTACAGCATAGGGAGTCCTGTCAATAATATTGTAATGACGGTGTGACCGTCATTGTAGTGAAGGTGGCCACACTTAGATTGGTGAGCATTGCGTAATGTAGAGAATTCTGAAATCACTGTGTTGTAGACCTGAAACTAATATAACATTGTACGTCAACTATAAAAAAAAAAAAACCCAAACATTCTGTTATCAATGCAGGAGGAGACAACTGGATCATTTTAATAGAACAGAGTCCAGATATGAACCTTGTGTTGGATAGATACGCAATATTGATGATGACCTTAAAACAACTCAGTGGGCAGGGGACAGTCATGGATAATTTTTCCCCCCTCTCAATAAACTTAACCACCCTCTTGTTCCTAAAGCCTTTCCTGAATTCTAGAATGACTAATTTAAGCTGAAGCTAAGACGGAAACACACACACACACACATATAAAACTTCCGGTACATAAACCCTTATTGCCAGGGGATTTTTAAAGAAATGCTTAAATTCACAAAGTGCTTTGTGGAACATTCATAATAGGAAGATATCTACATTAAGTATTGCTTCTGGTCTAGAGATGTCTTCTAAAATAACACCTCATTTTTATACTTACAGATGTCTAGAGTTTCTGCTTCAAAATGATGCAAATCCGTCGATCCGGGACAAGGAAGGTTACAATAGCGTACATTACGCTGCTGCCTATGGCCACAGACAATGTCTGGAATTGGTGAGTTGTTCTGTCTTGTTTTGTTTTCTCTAACACACACTGCACATGTCGGTCTCAATCTCTCACAAATGCCCTCATTGCCTAATTAAGTCCTCACTAGAAATTGCCTTGAAGATAGTCTGTGGTAAGTAATTCTGTTGTCTTAATTTACAATATGTTGTTGACCTTGCTCCGTTTCTGTCCATGCTCTCATCCCACAGCGGACTGGCAGTTGCTTCTTTTCTGTATTAATCTGGACTCGAAATGCTTGACTGCTTGTACGGACAGTTTGCATTTTAAAGATAATTTGGATATATCAGAAACACTCGGTATATTTTTCTGAAGCCACGCTGATCACCCTAATGTTCAGTAGGGTTGGTTGTAGGAGGACTTACATAACCATTAGGGATATGCTTGTCATGGTCCCACATGTGTAGTTTAGGGAACGAAATTGGCAAGGGCACAGCAGCGGAATTTATTGGAATTTCTAAAGCACCAAAGATTTCAAACCTATAGTTATGAAAAATCATCCTGATGTTTGAAGTCAGAAGCCCTTCTCTTGGTATAGGTCACCAGACACAAACTTTGGTGACCACAGGGACAGAAATGTAAAGTGAACAAGTGAAGTGAGCCCAAGTCTAGAGCACTAGTGGGGGGATTGAGACAAATAGGACATGCTCTTTCTAAAGGGAGAAACAGCTTGTCCTCCAGGGATGGAGATCAGGTGGTCACACTCAGGACCGAAGTCCGGTGCTTCAAGAGAAACTAGAAATCTAGACTTTTTACATGAACTTTCCAGTTTTGGAAACACTGAGTAGGCCAGGAAGAAAGAGTGGGTTTGTGGTTAAATCCTGCCCACAGGCCACCGTTGATATCTCCTCATCCTCACCCTTGGGTCCGTTTCACCAGGACACACGGGCTATCCCAACTCTCTAACTTTGGGCCAATAGTAGGAGCCACATTTCTAACTGGACTCCAGCTCTTTCCTTGTCCTTTTCAAAGGAGTAGTCCTACTTTTCCGAGTTGCTGGGAAGTATACTTTGGAAAACACTTGGATTTTATCATCTGCTACCCAGTCTGTGATGGAAGGCATGAGGTGGAAGGCCAGCAGGCAGTTGTATCAGTGCCTGCATGGAAATGACTGAATGATGTCCCACCACTTTCCTTTACCTTTGGCCTTGCTGGTAGGTTTAAGTGGATCCACTTAGGGTCATTTCTTTTTCCTTTTTTTTTTTTATTTTTTAGATTTATTTTTAAGAGAGAAAGAGTGAGCGTGTGCATGCAATTGGGGGGGATGGTGCAGAGGGAAAGAATCTTCAAGCTGACCCCCAGCTGAGCACAGAGCCCAGCATGGGGCTCAGTTCCACAACCCCAAGACCATGACCTGAGATGAAACCAAGAGTTGGACACCCAACCAACTGGGCCACTCAGGTGCCCCCACTTAGGGTCGTTCTTACTATTTTTCTCTTAGCCATGGATGTGGAAAAATGTTCATAGACATTTGGAAAATGAAGGGAAGATTGGAAAAAAAGAGCTGATTATTCCAGTGCTGCTTTGTGTGGCATTTATTGGTGAATTATACTGCCCTCATCATTCTTGAAGACTTCTAAGTCTTTTTTCCTGAGCTTCTTGTGGATGCTGAAGATCTCCTTGTTTGATCTTGGGGTGGCATTGTTTTTCCTCTCGTTTTGATTCCATCAGAGTTCCTCTTCCAGTTACTGCAGCTGCATAACAAACCACCCCCAACAATTAGTAGCTTAAAACAAGTCATTATCTCATATCTCTTACCGTTTCTGTGGATCGGGAATTCAGGAAGGGCTGAGCTTAGTCGTTCCAGTTAAACGTATCCTTTGAGGTTATAGACAGTGTCTGGGGCTGGCATCTTTACTCATGTCAATCACCTGGGTTGTAAGATTTAAATAGCTTTTATGGGGCTGCTTTATGTGGTTTTCTCCAGCCTGGTGGTTTCAGAGTAGTTGGATATCTTACATGATGGTTCAGGGATCCAAAAACGTTCTGCTCAGGACAGAGCGGGGGGAGCCAGAACAAGAATGAGTGACAGAAAGACAGTATTGCTCTTAATAATCTAGCCTGGAAGGTCCCACAGGGTCACTCCAGGGAGGAAAATTAGACTCCATCTTTCAAAGGAAAGGGTGTCAAAGAACTTGTAGACATATTTTAAAACCATCCAGTACCATAGGAAGACGTAGAAAGTTAGTGATTCCATAGCCTTCTATAAGATGGACCTTCAGGGAGAACCACAAGTAGCCAAGGGGCAGTCCCTTATCTTGTAGAGCAAACCAAACCACAGGACGGTAAGTGGTTTGTACCAAAGACATAGCTCTGGCCAGTGGAAGAAGCAGGCTTCTGAATTGGGATTCCCGATTTAAAAAACAAGAAATGTTTACCACACCATGCTGCCTCCCAGTGCAGGGCAAAACTCCCCCATCCCCCAAGGCTGTTTGGCATAGAGCAAAAGCTTGGTAGGAACTGGCTGAAGACAATATCCCTTCTGCCTTCTAATGCCAGCATTGCTGTGGGAGTGGATCTAGACCTATCACTGGACAGGACTCTGTGTCTAGGTCCCACGTAAGAAAGGCTCCTCACAAAGTGTGTGCTTAGTAATCAGTGGCAGCGTGAAGACTGACTGTTGTTAAAACCCATTATGCGCCTGCGGTCCAAAATGTACTTAAGACACAGCTGTCTTTAATTGGTTTTCTCTATGAAAAACACATGTCATAATTGGACATATGAAATTTTATTACAAAGTTATTATAGTCTTAATAACTTTGCTGTTTTAAAGTACTTTGAGGAGTTATCTTTAATCCCATAGCCCAAGTAACTCTGAAAATGATTATCTTGTAACATTTTCTTTCTCTGTAAATAATATATTGCATATTATTTTCATTTTTTCTTGAAAGCCATTTCAGGGCCATTATTTCTGTTCTCCAATGAAAAGGTTTTCTGTCCACATGAAGTTTTTTTGAAGTTCTGTCTCATAATGAGATTACTTCTTTGATTATATCAAAACTTGCCCTGTGTAATTTACAAAGAAATGATTATTCTTGGCAATTTTAAGACATTTGAAATTAGGTAGGGGAGGTATCCATTTATCTTAATTTGTAGTGTCAGTTAAAAAAGCCAGATTATCGATATAAATTGGTAGAAATGTCATCGTTTGCTTTCAAGAAAGGACCAGAGTGGGTTTACAACACAGATGGGATGAAAATACCCTCCATTACCCCCAAATGATTGTGGTAGGATGGAAAGTTCTGTATATTTCCATTTTGGACTGCATCCTAAAATTCCTCCTTGGTGTGGTTCAGCTAAGCAGAGATCCTAAACAAGGTACCGACATTCTTGGACCCGCCCCCTCCCACTCAAAACAAAACACAATGCTGGGCTTTCCCATCAGACTAACATCACAGAGCCAGACCACTGCACCGTCTTACTGCTGGCTTACTGCTGGCTCACAGAGCTGCGAATGGATTTGGGAGTGGCTGGGGCCACCCGTGCTGGCATTTACTGCGTGTTTATCACGTGCCAGAAATGCCATTTAATTATTTTTTTCTTTAAGTTATACTGAGATATACTCGACGTACCACATGTAAAGTTAAGCTGTGCAGTGTAACAGGGCACCCAGGTGTCGGCTGAGCGTCCAACTCCTGGTTTCCACTTGGGTCATGATCTCGGGTCCTAAGATGGAGCCCTGCATCAGGCTCCACACTCAGGACAGAATCTGCTTGGGATTCTCTCTCTCTCTCTCTCCCCCCTTCTACCCCTCCCCCCTTGTCTCTCAAATAAATAAAATCATAAGGAATAAAAAAAAAGAAAAGAAAGTATTTTTTTTTCCTTGTGATGAGAATAGGGCTTATTCTTGATACAATAAGTTGGGTTTTTGAGGGACACCTTTTCTAATTTATACTCCCTTCCTCTCTTTCTCGTACCACGATACGCTCATAGTCCTTAAAACTCCCGTTCTTTGGGTGCTAGGCATTAGGGAAGCAAACTGATTAGCCGGTATGCGCTTGGAGGTGCATTTCCCAGACTCACCACTGCTCTGTCAGTGTGCTCCCTCATCTTACCACAAACACCCCTACCTTCCTGGGGCATCATCCTCTTAACAGACCGGTCCTGACTCTGCTGGAATTATACCAGTGAAAGACAAGTTTCCAGTAGCTCTGAGTGGCTTCCCGGAGCCTCCAAGCAGGAATTATGCAGGGAGTCATTTCTTGATGTCACATTCCCTAGCCTGTGTTTCTGGCCTGTGGAAGGAAGAGTGTATTTGCAGCCCCTGAGCCTTCGCTGTGACACCAGGGCCCTTTGGGAGTTGGTCCTTCGGGAGATGGTGTGGCACGGGAGACGGTGAGTGACCTTCAGAGCCAGCTGATTTGGAACCTTGGTAAAATTTGTCTTTTGCCTCTTTCCTCATCTAGTTGGGCAATTACTGGGCTTATGCATATCGATAAATACATATCATTAATTTTGATGCAGATTTTATTTGACTCTGACATTTAACTTGGTATGGGTTTCCTTGGCATTCATGGTTTGTGGCTCCTCGCTGTGATCATAAGCTTGAATTTATAAACCATGCTTTGTGTTCAGTCTATTCTGCTGTAATCAAGAAGGAACAGAAATTATTTTAGTTGTTTTCACTCTACTTCCTTATATAAATTTATATTGAATTCGTTCCAAGAGCAAACAACTTCCAGAAAGTACTATGAACTCCTTGGCCTTGATAGCATAGCCAAGGCCCAGATTCTGCCAAGTCTGCCTACTTAGGCCAGTGTTCTCAGCTGGTTGTGGTCAGAAACGTATGTACTATGGGTGCAAGCAAAACTCTCCCCATGAAAGTGTGCTGAGAGCTGTGATAAGTCATATTCAGTTGGGCTCAAAATAGCAATGCAGAATGGAAGAGACTTGACCAATAAAGCATCTCCTGTCTGAATAAAACTTATGTCTGAGTGGGGGAAGGGAGTTGGCAAAGGAGAGCCCTGTGCCTCCCCTTTCCCCTATCTGGA